AACAAATTTGGGTCCCTGACGGGGTTGGAGGACGCGTTCGAAACCCAAGTCACCATTTTGACCTTCTCACCTGATGGCAAGCTAATTGCATCAGCCTCCGAAGATAAAACAATTAAGCTTTGGGATGCTGAAACGGGAGACCTCCAGAAGACACTAGAATGCAATTTCGTGAGCATCATTACGGCGGTCTCGGTGGCCCTTACAACAGGGGCCCATGCAGACACAACAATCATCACAGTGGCCTTTTCATCAGACAGCCAGCAGATCGCAGCAGTCTGTGATGATCAGACCATCAAGGTCTGGAAAATCAAAAAATCGCTCAAAGCCTCGAAATTTCTGGGGCGCGCTGTCGGTAGTCATATCAAGTCGTCCCGGCCATGGAAGGAGATTAAGACGTCAGAGCAGGTGTATGGCGTAGAATTCGCAGCAGGCAACCGATACCTTGAAACAGCCATTGGACCAATATCACTTGAGAGCACCGCGTCGGAGGAAGGGGAGGAGGAACTGCCAGTGAGGTCGGATTCGGATTTATTACAGAACCTCTCCGTCAGAGTAGAGTGGATATACTATGGGACCATGCCCTTCCTTCGGCTATTGCCTGATCTCCAGGCTTGTTCTTTTGATGCGCACGGCGATCAAGTGGTTGTTGGATTCAGCAACGGTCTAGTTTCAAGCTTCGACATTGATCGACGGAGACTACATCAATACTGGAAACACTTCAGCTATGACGGTAATCGCCCAACAGCGGGTTAGTCACCTGCCTGGAAGTCGGAGTGGGGATGGAGTCAATCAGGCAGCTTCTCTTGACTGTTGAAGATTCAGTCTCTGTCAGGGTTAGGTCAGATGCGGTTTATCAACATTGGTAGGCCTGTTTGTATGTCGTTCCTTTTTGTAGCAGCTGTGGGGAGTTTATATCAATTGATTTCTCTCGATCATTTGACTGCGATTCTCGAACCGGTTTCCTCTTTCTAAGTTGCTCTCCGTCTTATATGGACACCAGGAATACTATATGCATTTGTAGGGTCATGATGGTAGATGAGAATTGAAATCAATATTAATATGCACGAGAGATACACGGAATGCTCGTGCTGTGGGTTCCCTGTAGCCTGCCAGGCTTCCGATTATCTGTGCCATGTGCCATGGCGACGTATTTAGTCTACACTTCGCGAGACTCTCCGTCTGTGAAATAGACAACAGCTAGGACGGGAGGGATCACCCAATTTAGCAGAAAGAATCAAATTGAATTTAGCAATCAAGGGCCTCTTGGATATAAATATACCCAAACTGAACCTTGAAGGACCAAGGACTGGTGAGCTCCCCAGATACATATACATATTGAGATATATCCAGGAGTAACCCATCGACGTCTCATAGTATCTCTGATACCGGGATTGATATCAGTCACGCCGTCAGTTCAAAGGATACTCCGGAGTCTGAGACGTAGAAAGGAGATTTGCAATACAGTCCTTTCTCCTTTCCCAGTATTTAAACTTGGCACCCGATATATGGTTCCATGATCCAGTGGCTGCTCTGTCCAAGCCTAACCGTCAAACCCCAATAGGAGTAGAGGATTACTTGATCAGTGCAGTCTTCGACCTTCTCGCATCTAACAGAGTGGACCGCAATGACGTTCAGGTTCCAAATATGTGTATATTTCTCGAAAAATATACCACTCATCGTGACATGGAGGCAGTCGCTGCGCTATATATTGCTAATGATGATCTACCAGCAAAACTAGAGACAGGTTATTTCACCTGAGAGTGATAATCCCAGGTATGTTCCTATCCAAGATGCTTTTTGAGAGTTCAAGATGGAATTTCAATTTCAGTGATTACCAGTCTTGCAAAAGCCCAGTCAGATATTGCAAACTAGGAACCGCCAAAGCGAACACCACTAATCTTGCCGGAATTGTTCCCTATCTGAAAGCCCGAGTTAGGTCCCGAAAACACCACACTGTTGGTGTAGGTGGTGGTGGATTGAATGACTTTGACAACCGTGTCACTCAGCAGCTTGTCCTGGCCAGCAGCGACCTCCTTCAGTAGCGAAAGAGCGCCCTCGTTCGCGTTCAACCCGGACACCTCTTCTTCACACAGCTTGCGCTGTTCTTCCTGAATTCCCGGGAAAAGATCGACCAACCCGTCCACCAATTCGCTGATGTCCTCGATCAGCCGGGCGAAATTCTTCTCCTCGTATAGAATAGTCACTTGGTCCTGCTCCAACTCGGACTTTCCCTGCCGCTTCTTAGCGAGATATTCCATCTTTTGGTGCAGTGAGGCTGAGACGCCGTCTAGCTCTTCGGCGGGGTCCAGCACTTTCAAGGTGGGATTGCGTCGTCGCAATCGCTTCGACGCCGCCTCAGCTTCCGCAAAGAGCTCCAGAATCTGAGCCAGAAAATCCTGGACCTGCTCTTGATCTTCGGGAGCGAGATTCGTCATCTGGAGCTGTTTCACATCGCCGTCGTCCACATTCGCCAGTCCAACCGACTGACCCCACCGAGTCAGCCGGAGCCTTACGACGTCCAGTTTCAGCAAACTGGTTTGGAAGCTCTGCCCGAAATTAGACCCCATTTGGATATACTCGAAACTTTGCACCGCGTCGTTGAAAAGTCGAGATTGCTCGTCCAGCATCTTGAGCATGGCGTCCTGTTTCAGTTCTAGCGCCTGGGTTTGTTCGATGATCGTCCCCGTGTCAGATTTGATGGCCTCCATTCGTCCATCGATTACAGTGACCTGCGCTACGAGGAACTCGACGTTTCCGTTCATGCTTTGGACTATGTCGTCTAGGATCTCGACGGTTCGTAGCGTGGCTAGGCCAACGGCTTGCGTCAGCTCGTTCACGGCCTCCTCCATTGCCTGGATGGCACCAGAAAGAGCCCCATCCGATCCATCGATCAAACTGGAAAACCACTTTTCTAGATGAGAGAGTCAATCTTAATTAACACCGCTGTAACAAAAAAAAAAAGAGAGAGAGAGAGAGAGAGCGCGATCAAGGAAAAGCAGCTCACTGAATCTTTTCTTCTCTGCATATTCCTGCGCCACGGAACAAATGGTCAGCATGCCTGAGAAGACCCGCGCAACGCATCGCTGGAACGGCGCTTGCTGGGGAGTTTTATCCTCGATCATGGAGAGCCGGTCGAAGAAGCGATGCGTGAAGTCGAAAAACCCCATGATCTTGTCGTAGTCGGCGGATACCGAGGCAAAAGACTTAGGGCGTTATCAGAAATCAAAATCGTCATTTTGTTATCAACCGGAGTCTCGTACCTGGATGACCTGTCCAAAGGCCGTGAAAATCAAGCTGGCTGGCATTGCGGGGGGAAAAGCCTGTTAACCATCATCAGCATCAGCATCATCAGCATCAGCATCAATATCATCAGCATCAATATCATCAGCATTAATATCAACAGCATCAGCATCAACAGCATACACGCTATTAATTCCATGTAAGAGAACATACCGATGCAGCATTCCCAACCACCTCGACCGTATTAACGACCTTCTGAATCAGCCATAAATTATTCTTCAATGCAGTCCGCACATTGTCTATTTTCGATCGGTCATGCCGGAAATCCTTAAACTCGTCCGACAAGCCTTCCGTGCCCTTCATTATTTGGTCGATGTTGCTGAACTGGGCCAAGTGGAGAGACTTCTTGGTCCTTTTCTCATAGTCCTCGACTGCTCGTTGCCAGAGTTGAGCGATGTCGGACGCCTGTGCCGCGTCGAGTTTCCCCTGGGTAGCCATGTTGGAGCAAGCGTGAAAGACGAATGCTGGAGCGAGATTGAATGAGTGAGGGAGGTATGTGAATGATGTTGTTTGGACTTGGACACAGGAAAGCCAATATTCAATGAGCCAGCATAGTCCAGCGCCTCATCTGCTATACAGGGAAGCAGAGCTGGGCTGAGAGATCCGGATGTCAAGTCCGCAACTAAACTTGCCAACCAATCGAGAGCCAACAGCTGTAACTCTTGGTCTCAGGCTCCCAGCCGCATATACCCCTCCGACTCCACTTGGTCTGAACAGTGAAAAATACCGCGCTCCCCCGCCGTCCCAGTTCGGAGAACAATAGCATTCTACACACAAATGTATTATCCCATTCTAAGAGACTACGGCATACTCAACCTTCCTAACTGACCCCTTATGACCAAGTCAAACGGGATCGCGCTAGCTGCTCGGGACCGATACAGCACCCCAGCCCCAGGCTGTGCGACTAGCGTGGCCCTCCAGCGGAAACCTCCAGAATAATGAACTGGGAACCGGGAAGGGTAGTTCTCGTCCACCCTGTTGATAGTCCCTCTTCCTCAAGGCTCAGGCGGTATACTTTCTCTGCCACGTGCACCGATGAAAGGACATTGAGAATCAATGGTCAGGGAGTGAGTTATTCCCGTCTATCTCAAGAGTTCTCGGAGTGACCCCGACCTCTTCGTACCGGACATACCAATATCATTAGTTAATCGGGCAATCAATGTAGCATGAGGAGCTGCCCATTTAGCCAGCTGCAATCCGGTAGCAATTGATAGGCGAGATCTCATAGAAAGGACACCTCGCCCCCCACTTATACGAGACGGGATATTAACGAGCTTATTTAGCCAAATAGCATGACTGCCCTTTTTACCTCTTTGAACATTCTGCATGGAATTGACGCACGGGGACTCGGGGAGGGCCGAGGCTTCAGCCAGCACATCCATGTAGGTTAATCGCTCAGCGCAAAAGTACGACCAGGCGTGGTGCTTCAGCCGCTTTATGTAATTTTTGTAATGAGAAAATACAAGCTAGGCTTGCCCGTAGACTAATAAACAAGTAGGAAGCAGATCTCAAGGTGAATTTTTCGTCTGGTTGTGAATTTTCCACGCTTCTACCTTGGTCGTATGTCGTCCCCCCTCTGCCAGTCACCCCTTCTGCATTGTATAGTCAATAACCCTTAAGAGTCGCAAAGGATCATTAATTGCATGCTTGCTTGCTACATATTCTAGCTAGCTTTCCTTCCCACTGCATCCATCTTCAAAATGTCTATCAGAGCGGTTAGGGAACCGGCCAACGCCAAAGTTGAGTAAGATCGCCCCGATCTCTTTCTCTCCCAATCTCTTTCTCTAGCCCAGCCCATCCCATTCTAAATCAATGTACTTACCCAAAAACACCCGATAGTATTGTGTTTGTTCACGGCTTGCACGGCGACCAAGCACCGTGGACATCCGAGGCGGATGTCTTCTGGCCTGAAAAGCTCCTCCCGGGTAAAATCTCCGACGCATGTATCCTGTCGTTCGAGTATGAAGCGGCTATCGGTCCTTTTTTTGACGAGGACGACGAAATCACGGACATTTCCAACGACCTGATCAACGAGCTGATGGACCATCGAACTGAGAAAGAAAAGGTTTTCTTCCCAGCTCCGCTCTACTCTACCAGTGCCTCTTGATCCAGCTGGTTGACGAAGCAAAAAACAGGAAGAAAGACCCATTATTTTCGTTGCACATTGTCTCGGTGGCGTTGTTTTAGAGAATGTACGTTACCCTCGCTGTCCATGGGAAACCCCACTAACGTAGGACATTCTCATGTCTAGGCCCTAGTCCGAGCCGCCGAACATCCCAGGAAAAGAGAGCTCATTGGTTATATCCACGGTATATTACTACTAGGAACCCCTCATTTCCAGCCGGGATCGCTAGCAGCAGCCACAAACTATCTCCGAATCGCTCAGGCGGAGATCCCCAGCGAGTCGGACCTGAAAGACCGGTTAAATCGCCTCAGCGGCATTCCCCAGCGGTTTGCCGAGCTCAAGCAAGCAGGGGCTGAGTTCGAGGTGGAAGGTTTCTATGCCGGAGCCGGCACCAAGCTGGGCGGTACCGGCAAGGACGTGAAGATCGTTGATGAGGCGTTGGCCCGAGGCCCCGATGCTCCTCCTCCTGAGCGCCTGGCGCGCAATCAGCTACGGCTGAGCCAGTATGACGGCGAGGATGACAAGGATTTCAAGAAGATGTTTCGGATTCTTACCCAGTGGGCGTCCAAGATTGTTCTTCCGGAGGAAGATAAGGGGGCCGCCAATGTGTCGAATGCGACGTTTTCGGGTTCTCATAATTCTGGTTTGCAGCTGGGGCAGAATGTAGGAACTCTGAAGGGGTTCAGTTTCGGAAGAGGTTAGGTAGTTAGGTAATTGATCATTTCATACTTCCAGATTTGAGTTTCGACGCCTTATAAAAACTAATTTATTCCATAGTTAGTTAGTTAATAAAGGAGTGCCCTTAGCAACTCCCATGGAGAAGTGGTAGTTATCAAAATCAGTCCGCAAGTTTATCTGTAAGTCCACTTGAATAAATTAGGGACAATGAATGAAGTAAACGCGACATATTTTGAGGCTACACGGAGGCCATGAACATCAGGGTACAAATAACCACCCAAACGGACTGGCGAGTAGCAAATCTCCGCAGAACAAACCCTCATACACATTTATGTTTGTGAACGACAAAATGCCTAACAATCGCTGACGAACAAGCCATCCTTACTCACCAATATTTCTTCATCGGACAGCCAAGAGCTTTATCGGTACTCCAAGTCTAGATGCAGCTGTGTTCTATTCGGATTAAGCAAAAGTAGCACTAATATAAATTTACCCCTAAATATGAATGACAGACACACGGCTCGAATACAGAAATTTATATACAAGTACATGAGATTTTTCTTGAAACATCCAATCAACTTTTCTTCTCAGCCGCTGGCACATCTGCTCCGGTGACATCTTGTGCTGTGTTCTGTCCACTTAAAAAGCTCACACCACCTGGGCCAGAAAATTGTTTTCGTCCCGTAGTAAGCCAGGTTATGAGGCTAATGACGCCAACGACGCCAACAGCAGCACTGGTATAGTTCATGGATTGTTGATCGACAGGATTTGTGCTCGGGAAGTTGAAGGTGATAGCTGCAAATAGAAGGAACAAGAGTCCGATAATGTTGAGAGCGATGGAGACTGGTACCGAAAAAGAGTAGGGGCCATCAAGCTTCGTTACATGACCGGAAAAGTATCCAGCCAGGCGACTGATAAGTGCCATTGCGTATGATAGATCTGATGACGAGAGATTAGTGACGGTGCCGAAAGAAGGGAAGAAAGTAACTTACAAAAGCCTTCCGTTGAGATAGCAATGACAGTCTGGAATCCAGTGGTTGTGCCAAACTCAATAGCACCGAGGGCAAGCTGCACAGCAAGAGTAAGGAGCACAGCGTTAACAGGAACGTGGGTCTTGCTTTCGACCTTGCTGAAGAATTTAGAAAAGGGTAGGCCACTGTCTCTGGCGAAGGCATACGCAGCACGCGATCCTTCAGCAAGAATGTTGTTTCCAGCCACAATCACAATGACCGAGATCAAGCTTGACAAGATAACAGTGGCAGCCTTGTTCCCAGTGGAATCGTAGATGATCTGAATAACGGGTACACCAGTGCTCGTGCCAGCCGTTGACTCGATATCACCGATGCAGAAGCAAAGAGAGACAAGGAAAATAAATCCAGTGACTGCACCAAGGACCACGGCGAGAACTATAGCCTTGGGTGCCTCTTTGGAGGCAGATTTCATTTCTTCCGTCATATGTGACGGGGCGTCATAGCAGCACATGCCGAAGCAGGCCTGTAAAACACCAATAATGGCGGCCATGCCAGTTCCGAAACCAGTGCCGTTCTGGAAGTCTTGGAATACGAAGGATGCGGGCTGTTTGTGGTCGTTTGTGGCAAGGATCGTGGCTGTAACGATAACGAACGATGCGACGTTCCAAATCAAAATTGCTTTCGAGATTCGGTGGAGTAAATGTGAGCCCCAGAGGTTGACGGCCGCTGAAAGGAATGCGACGAGGTAGGCGACTAAAACGGTTTGCCATCTTTGAATTTCGAATTCGGGGAATATAAGGTTGGCCATTCCGAGAACGAAATTGGAGGCAATGGAGTTATTGGTGGCACCCATGGCCAACAGACCTATACCGATATTAGTAAATGCCAGGGAGCAACAGTATCGGAATGAGTACCAATCAACATGAACCATCCAGTCACATAGGAAAGACCTCGAGCTATACTTGGAGGAGCCAGAGCCGCAACCCATGAGTATTGACCACCGGCCACTGGATACATTGAGCACATCTCTGCCATAGGAATTGCGACGGCCAGTGTCAACAAGCTGACACCGATAAAACTGAAGATCATAACAGGAGGACCGCCGGAGGCCACGCCGACGATAAAAACACCACTCAGTGCAGTCCATCTTGAACGTTGTCAATACAAAGCAGAAGCGATAAAGCAAAATGTTTCGATACTCACGATGTTACCACACTGAAACTAAAGCCAATCATACTAATCAGACCAAAAGATCTCTTGAGCTCTGCAATAACACATTAGCGGCCTATTGGGTAATTTTCAACGAGTAGTATGCTGGGTAGACTGACCTTGCTCATATCCCAAATTCTCCAGGCGCGCATCTTCATTAGGCGTGCCTTGAAACACCTTCGGGTCATCTTCTATAGTCGTCATGGTTGCAGCAAGAACAGTGATCAAGCCCAGGCAAATGTTGCCTAGCAAGGGGTAGGCGATACATCTTATACCCATCGGTAACATCCGCTTTCCCCATACTTTGTCACCCCGGAGTGGCCAAACCAGCTAACAGCGTGATAGATAGATATTCTGTTACGGTTTCCCTATTGAGAAGGTCCGCGCGATGGCTGTGGGGCCGGCCCTTACGAACCGGGACTGACAACCAAAGAGTCGGCTTTGTTGCGGGGGGACCTGTAGAGACTGCAGATAAGACGGCCACTTCTACACTATTAGGCAATTCGAGGAGAATTGCTTTGTGTCATATGGACTTGTATCGCCGTTTTATCTATATATTTATAATGTTCATTATTTTTAAGGTGATAATATCACTTCGTGTCGGCCCGGTGGAAGCCTTCTAACGCCGGTGTTTGGACCTTGGCGCTATGTTCTTGCCGAAATTTGCTTTTCTCTACGACATACTCTGTGGTTGGTGAGGGCTTCGAACGGGTGAGGGCTTTCTATACTGATTTTGAAGTTTATAATGCGATTGTAGGTGGTTTAGAAGATAGCATTCAGGACGCGTTTCAAACCCAATCCTTGAAGTTGCCTACACTGTACGAAGCTGACTTCTCTCCAACTGTAACACACAACATAATAACCTTATTTCCCACTTTCTCCTCTGGGCATAGCTTGGTATGCTTGCTCTCCGGAGCCCCGTTCAGACCCAGATATTGACAAGTGTCACACGCACCCTTAGGGCGTGTTGACACGACCCGAACAACTTCCAACAGCTAGTGTAGGGATATAGTGGGGCTCGGAAAGGTCTCTTCGTGATTAGATAGAATTCTGTAAGTAGTTGAATGATTGCACTACTGACATATATGCTCCCTATATCGTAGAATACAAGGCGTCGAAAATGTGTATACAGTGCCACTGGTGAAGTATTGAGCAGTCTCTACGCGAAAGCCTCAAAGCGAATATACTGCTGCATGTGTAGTTTTCGCCCTACTTTGGCCTCTCTTTCTTTACCTCTTTTTGTCCATTTTCATCTGGTTTAAAATGGTAGGTTAATCATGTGGATTATATAGAGGTGAGGTTTGACTTATGGCCTATAACTGTATGGCGGAGTGAGAAAACACCGTGATAAACTAGACGCCAAGATTAATATCAGACATCTCAATTCCAAAGATAGTACGGAGTAGCCACGATGTCAATGATGGAAGGAAATAGACTTTTGCTAGTGACATGCAGACCCTCGCTGGTGTGTGGGTGTCCTTTATTTCGTAATTCGAATATATGGACCAAGAAGCGTATCCTTACTCAAAGCGACAGTTGTGCGTTTGATTGTATTTTGACTGCAAATGTGATGACGCGAACGCTGTAAGGTTATAGTAGAGGCTGAAATATACATTCTGCGAAAAAGCACTATTCGTATAACTGCAAGGAGGATGAGCCCTTTAGTCAATGTAATAGACAAGCCTTGGAGGTATATAGTTCCAAAGCTAAGATATAACTTCATACAACCCGAAATAAAATGACAATTCTCGCAGAAATCAACCACAGCAACCCGCTGAAGCACTCTATCAGCCGTAGAGGCAACATTTCATAATCTATTGACAAGATGTTCATAAAAAAGAAAAAAAAAAGAAAAAAGGAGGCATGATTCAGCCCAGGCACCGGGCCCGTCAAAAGCGAAAAAGATAGATACAATGCGAGCCGAACGCCAAGCAGATCGTGTGACGCTGATAGTGACAGATGGTAAGGGAATAAGAGATGAGTTATTCCGGAACAAGAAACAAGTAAAAAGGTATAGAGCAACAAGAAACCAGAAATCGCTAACATGCACTTCGGAGATCACATACTGAGCAAGCTCATTTGTCGACGCATGGGGTTGGGCGACATTGCATCTCCATCTTCGCTGGGACCGATACCGCTATCTGTACCGTTGATGCCGGCGTCTGTGTCGATATCCCATTGTTCGTCTTCGTTGGGGTCACCGTTGTGGTCGGCGCCGTCGCCATCCCAGCCTTTTTGGATTGCGCCACGGGTGTTCCAGCGCAGAGCGCGTTGGACGCTTGTGAACCATTCGTTGTTGTTGGATACGACAGTTGGGAAGGGGTACTGGCTTGCTTCGACGGTGACACAGTCACCTTGGCGGAGTTCGATGCGACCCTTGCCGTCGAAGGAGCAGTAGGCGGTGGACCGGGAGGTGTTTGGGACTGCGATGCGGAGAAGGTGGGAGTCTGAGAGCACCATTGGGCGGAAGGAGAGGGTGTGGGGACAGATTGGTGTCAGGAGAATGCCGGGGATAGAAGGGTGCATGAGAGAGCCGCCGGCTGAGAGGGAGTATGCTGTTGAGCCGGTCGGGGTGGAGAAGATACAGCCGTCTGCTTGGACGACGGTCAGAAGCTCGTCGTCGGCATATAGCTCTAGATTCGAGACGTAGGGGGATGGGCCGCGGTCGATGACGAGCTCGTTCAAAACTTCAAACTGCTCGCCTTCCTCGACCGCACCTGCCTCTGCGCCTTTACTCCGGTCCTTCCGGAAGACGGTGCATGTGAATCGCATACGTAGGTTGACGCGCATGCCCACATCACCCATGACACCATTCAGTTGTGATTTGTAATTGGAGAATTCGAAGTTTGTGAGGAAGCCGAGACTGCCCAATGAGAAGCAGAGCACAGGCGGTACAACCCGCTGGAAGAGCCATGAAGTGAAGAGGACAGTGCCATCACCACCTAGAGTCAAGACCAAGTCAAATTTATCCGGCGATGTCCAGCAAAGATCTGGTGTCCAGAAATGCAGCATCTGCGCAAACATCGGGTCTTTTTGCAAGAGCCCCGGTGCGTCGAAGCGCTTGGAATTCCGCAATTTCGCATCAACATAGACATTGACTCCTTGTTTGTTCCCATATCTTGGTGTTGAAAGCAGCCACTCGGCAACTTCCCGAGTCAAATGCACTAGGCTGTTATCCCGAGCCTTGGTGACAATCATGACATTTCGCACGGCGCGTTTGATCGGCCGGCGTTGGAGCTGCTTGGAAACCTCGCGTACTCCAGTTGCTGTCTGAACTAGCCGTGAGTGGGACAGCCACTCATCATCGGCGATTTCCTCTAGCACCTTCTTTATATTGACAGCGTCGTCGAAACGCTGGTGGAAATAACATGGCGACTGCAATACTAGTCGTGCAGTTGCCGGTGATCTATCGAGGTATCCGCTTAATTGTAGGTTGGAAAGTGCTGTAGAGAGGTTTTGGGAGGCATTGCTGCCCCGGCGCTGCCGGTCGTCAGAAGGCGGGGAAGCCTGGGTGGACTTATTGAGCAAATTCGACCACGAACTCGCCGACATGGTGTTGGGATTATTGGCGACGATCGAGGATCGCGAGGCCAGGGCTTTCAAAATGGTCTGTCGCGGGATGGAATCCGTCGAGAGCGCTTTCTGCGACCGAGGCCGAGAAATGGCCTTTTGGAGAGGCCGTAGCGTCAGAGGCAGCGACAAGCCTTCTTCTTCAATCGGCTCAGTCTGGAGGGAGAGAGTGCTGGCGTGAGGGGAGTCGCGAATCTCGGTGTGGGTTTGGGAGGGTTCTATATGGAGGGCATAGTCGCGGAGCAGTGCCGCACCAACTGGGGAGCACGAGGAGTGAGATGAATTGTCAGACCGAGGGTTATCGCGGCTCGCCATAAGAAAGATCAAAAGTAATCAAGGGTGACTCGGATGTAACGGGGATTGCGGATCCGACGTCTCGAGATCTGTCGTGGGTCAGAGATGGGGGTTCTAGCGTCTTCCACTCTGTGTCTGTAAGATGACAAGGATGCGCCCGGATAAATTGCAGATGGGGTCAAAAGGGAGGGAAATGCGAAGAAGTTATTGGAGCAAGATAAAAGTTCCCCAGACAAAGAAATTCGCGGATGACAATTAATCATTTTCCCGCAATAGTCGAAAAACTATTCTTTTCTCCGGCCTATGCAGTATGCAGTCATGGCGCTCAGATGCTGACGTTTACAATTGTCTCTAACTACGTCAATCCGGATGTTGGATATTGGGTTCGTTATTCTGCTCACTTTACACATATGCTAGAGCCTCGGATAATCCCCATAAATCGCTCACCTGCGATCTAGCATTCCTATTTCTCTTCACCGCTCCATTCCTGCACCATAACGACGTAACCGAGTGGTCACCAAGAGGCTAACCATAGCCATTCCGGACTACAAGGATCCGGGGAGCGAAACAAGCCTCTGCAGGGCTGTCGCTTGTGGCAGGCAAAGCGTGTTGTACATGCAGCGACAGTCAGGTGATGGTGCCTCGATCGGGTGTCATACTCAGGCACCTGGTGGGTGGCACTGTCGCACCCTAGTTGAGCGGGACATGTAGTGAAATCCCTAGGAAAAAAGGTGTGTGGGAAGAAAGGGACCAGGTGTGACAGCAGCTCAGGGGCAAGGGTGTTGCACCTTCGGCCCATATCACTTGTAACTCTCCGCGTATTGCTGTGCTCAGATCGAGTCAAGTTTGTAGGCGTAGTCACTGTAGATCTGGTCCTCCACTGCCTCCCGGATGAAACCATTTAGGCTGCCGTCCTTTCCTTCGCTCATGCTCACATCGCCGTCGGAGCTGTCAGAGGCACCCTGACAGATGGAGAGAGCGTGTTGGCGGGCCAGCTCCCAGGTGTCAAAGTCGAATCGGCCTTCGCTTTCGTTGAGGAGAAGGTGGCTCTTGGAGGAGATCGCAAAGACGTGGAGGGACACGGCGGCTTTGGCGGCGGTCGGGGAGGGGTCACGGACAATGTCACCAGACTTTGTTACACAGAGAAGAGTCGCGGCAAAGGTCATCGACAGAGGAACCGAGGCGGACATCATGGCGAGCAAGCCAGCGTGCAAAAGAGCTGGGAGGATGGTAAGGTACTGGATGGGTTAGTTTGATGGGCCAGTGCAGCGAGAAGAGAATGAAAATACTCACTGAGTCACCGCGTTCAATGTTTTCGCCTCCAACGATGGCCAGAGTGAGGACAACACCACGACGAGGGAATCCTTTCTCGCGGCCCAGAACCACCTTGCCCAACACAGAGCGCAGGATTCCTTCGACATATCTCTCTCCGACACCAGCAGTGGTAGTACCAGGTTTGACAAACACCTCCACGGTTGCTTCCTCGGGCTTCAATGCGTCACGGCGTCCTGGGAGCTCGACGGGGGCATTGACGGCACCCAGGATATTGTAACCCGTAGCGGGGCATTTGTATGACGCCGAGCCATCGGCACGATTTAACTGCGAGAGAGATGTTGTTGGACCGACCATCTTGAAACGGGAATGGCAAGTGAGAAGCTGTTGTTCTGTTCTGCTGTTCGCCTCGAAGAGTTGAAGCTTCCCGCAATTTTTTATCACTGGCCCGATTTGATTGGCTGTGGGAGGCAGTACTGGGTACTTTGTTGATGGAGGGCCCACCTCATACTTCGCAGTATCTTCTACTTGTAACCAAATGCTATGATCTACTTTGTATTCTGTCTATTTCTTTTCTCAGTGTATCTTCTACCTTCTTACTTACTACTCCAGTATATCTGTCTAAGCCAAAGTTAATTCGGTTATAAGCCTAAATGCCGCCTTCGACTCCTATAGGTCGCCCCCGACAAATGGACGTGTCAGTCCTAAGATGCCGAGCTCTTGGAATGCCCAGGCCGGGCTGTGCTAATACAGGTCTGGTCCAAAGCCACGCCTTCCAACAACAGACGTGTTGTTCGTTCCAGTTCGATCCCCTTGATCTTCTAACATATTGAATTCAAGCTGAATGCCGGAATCCGAGAAGCCGTCGCCGTCGCCAGCGTCCCGATATAGGAATAGAACGCCACGACTGCCGAGAAACCAATGAATTTGTGGCTTAACCCCGGACTAGTCAACCATCCAATCCCACTACAGCACACCCATCCCCAAGATCCGAGTGGACTACGAACCAGGATCGTGAGTAGCTATCGCCAAGGGTCCCAAGAGCCAAGAGCTTACCTGTACGAGTTGCCCCAATGACATCGTTGCCTCATGAGATGATTACGCCCCCTCGCTGGGGTATCCCCCCTCCTGATTCAAAAGGAAAGCCGGCCATGTGCCGATGTTTGGCACTAATTCCCTACAAAAGCCACGTCCAAAAGCCACTTCTAGGTTCTACCTACCTTCTTCTCATTTTTGATTCTTCCCTTTGAAGACAGTCCTTTCCTCTGCCCTGGGTAGTCATCAGGGTGACAAGCAACCTTAGATTCAAAGCATCTATCTCATTGCCCCTTCTCCCTTTTCCCTTCTCTTCTATTGAATGGGCGTGAACGTAGAGTCTACTCTCGATGTCGAGGAATCGACGGAGCCTCCTATATGTGGTTATACGGAACCCAGCTCAAAACCCAATGTCGCCAGCACCCTAGATATTAGGCCCTGTGCTACCCATGAGAAATCTATACCGCATAAAAGTGATCATCCCGCGCCGGTCGATCTACCTCCTACTAGAGAGGGCTCTGATCAGAGTGCCCACCTCATAAATCCATCTGAGCTCGCTACTCTCCTCAGAACTGACCTTCGGTATGTTGGCCGGGCATTTACAACACAAGCATTGTTAACAAGTGATATAGAAATGGTATCTCTGATTCAGAAGCGGCATGCCGCCTCGAGCGCGATGGTCCGAATACCGTGCGTGAAATGGAGAGTGTCTCCGTCTGGGGGATACTGCTAAGACAGGTGTCCAACAGTCTGACTCTAGTACATGCCTCAATACTGGATATCGCCATCAAAGGCAATGAATGCTGACATAAATCAAGGTCCTCTTAATCACCATGGCCCTCTCCTTTGGAATCGATGATTACATAGAGGGCGGTGTTATCACTGCAGTGATTCTCCTAAACATCATCGTAGGGTAAGAACCCGGTGTTTCGTTTATCATATGTTAACTAAACTAACAACCACTCTCACAGCTTCATCCAAGACTACAGAGCCGAAAAGACAATCCTCTCACTACATCGTCTCTCCGCTCCAATATGTAAAGTCATCCGAGACGGTCGAATCGCCTCTGTCAAAGCCGAATCTCTCGTCCTGGGAGACGTCGTGCAACTATCCGTTGGTGACATCGTCCCCGCCGATCTCCGACTATTCGACGGCATGAATGCTTCAATGGACGAGGCACTTCTCACCGGTGAATCACTTCCAATTCTCAAAACTCCCCAACTCACTCTCGCCTCGCGTGATATCCCCATTGGTGATCGGACCAATATGGCCTATTCGGGCTGTAGTACCACACAGGGTCGAGCAATGGGAATTGTCACGGCGATCGGCATGAACACTGAAGTTGGAAAGATTGCCCAGTTGCTACAGACAAATTCTGATCTTGGTGATTCGGGTCCTTTTGGTCGTGTGTGGAAACGGGTCAAATTGTTCATTATGAATATCTTGGGGTTGGTTGGTACACCGCTGCAAGTGAAGCTGAGCAAGTTTGCACTTCTACTCTTCGCACTGGCAATTCTGTTGGCCATCATTGTTTTCTCGGTCAACAAGTGGGATGTCCAGGGCGAGGTTCTCATATACGGCATTTGTGTTGCTGTAGCGGTCATTCCAGAGTCGTTGATTGCCGTTCTTACCATCACCATTGCTGTGGGTACAAAGGCCATGGCAAGAGGGAATGTCATCGTGCGCAAACTTCAATGTCTTGAGGCAGTCGGCGGTGTCACAAACATCTGCTCTGACAAGACCGGAACCTTGACGCAGGGCAAGATGATTGCCCGCTCGGCTTGGATTCCTGGTGCTGGGACTTTGACCGTGAGCCAGACGTCCGATCCATTTGATCCGACTAGTGGAGTTGTTCAGTTGGATGAAATTGATTGGAACTCAACTCGGCCTATTGAGGATCATCCCGCTTTGCATACCTTCCTGCGAGCGATCTCTCTTTGCAATCTTTCTACTGTTCATCATGATAACAAGGTATGGAGTGCAGTGGGTGAGCCCACGGAGATTGCGCTTCATGTCCTGGCTTTGCGCTTCGGTTTTGGGAAGAGCTCTGTTATGAAGAGGCGTCAGCTTCAACTGCATACAGAATACCCATTCGATTCGGCTATCAAGAAGATGACTGTTGTCTACAATAATCCTCAAGATAGGGCAATGGAGATATACACCAAGGGAGCGCCAGAAACTATCATCCCTCATCTACATATCGTTGAAAGCGAGAGACAAACCATTCGAGATACAGCCGATCGGATGGCAGGTGAAGGTCTCCGTGTCCTGTGCATCGCGTATAAAACTGTTCTCGGAGGGGATATGTCTCAAGTATCTCCCCGAAATGCAGCCGAGTCAAACCTCCGCTTCGGCGGCCTAGTTGGACTTTACGATCCCCCTAGAGTCGAAACAGCTGCAGCAGTGCGCCGATGCCAAATGGCAGGGATCACTGTACACATGCTCACAGGAGACCACATCAAAACAGCAACGGCCATCGCCTCAGAAGTCGGAATTCTTGACCGCGTAGCAGCTGTCATAAAGGCGGGCAGACTGGTAATGGCAGCCGACGAGTTCGATAAAATGAGTGACGATGAAATCGACGCTATCGAAGAGCTGCCTCTTGTCATTGCCCGGTGTAGCCCTGCTACAAAGGTTCGCATGGTAGACGCCATGCATCGGCGTGAGGCATTCTGTGTCATGACTGGCGATGGTGTCAATGACTCCCCGGCACTCAAACGAGCAGATGTTGGTATTGCTATGGGGAAGAATGGAAGTGACGTTGCCAAGGAAGCGGCTGATATGGTCTTGACGGATGATAATTTCTCATCTATTGTTAAGGCGGTTGAGGAGGGAAGGCGGCTTTTTGATAATATCCAAAAGTTCCTCATGCATTTGCTCATCTCGAACATTGCACAAGTCATCCTCCTGTTGATCGCGCTAGCCTTCAAAGATAAAGGCGGAGACTCAGTCTTCCCATTATCTCCACTCGAGATCCTCTGGGCAAACCTGGTCACATCCTCATTCCTGGCTGTAGGTCTCGGGCTAGAAGAAGCCCAACCAGATATCATGTACAGACCACCCCACGACCTCCGCATCGGCGTCTTCACTCGCGAGCTGATAGTCGACAAAATGATATACGGAACGTTTATGGGCACCTTGTGCCTCGTTGCATTTGTCTGCGTTATCTACGCCGCAGGCACGGGCACTTCATCTCTAGGCGATGGATGTAACTCGGGTTATAATCCAACATGCGATACTGTCTTCCGTGCTCGGGCAACTACATACGCAACGCTGACTTTCCTCCTGCTTGTCACGGCTTGGGAAGTGAAACACTTTTCTCGGTCCTTATTTAACATGGATCCCATTCGGTATCCAAAGACTCTTTCTGTTTTCCCTACAGTCTGGAATAATAGGTTTTTGTTCTGGGCTGTCATGGCTGGATTTGTTATTGCATTTCCAGTTATCTATCTTCCTGTTGTTAACCAGCTTGTTTTCAAGCATCAGGCTATAACTTGGGAGTGGGGTGTTGTCTTTGGGTGTACGCTTGTTTACTTGATCTGTGTTGAGAGCTGGAAGGCTGTCAAGCGGGCGTTTGGGATTGGGAGTGGGAAGAATGCTACTCTTACCTTGGAAGATGCTGAGATGAGGGCTGGTCTGGCTACTTTGACGCCCCTCTCGCTGAGTGCGAATGCTAGTGCTAATGCTAGCGTCGAGTTGAAATGATGATGGATGGTTACCATGGCTGGATAGTTCAACATTATGTTGGTCATGTCGTTTCAATTTGGGGCTTTCAACATCCCCCTGCTTGCATGCATTGCTTTTGTTATCTATCGAGATTCGGAATGAACCTAAATAGCCTTTGAGTAGGATATCTGAGAGACATGGCTACCTTCTTTGTCTGGTCTGTTTTAATTCTAGGCAAGTGGATCTATGGGAACCTCATTTATCCAAGCACTATAACGGGTACCTCTGATCTAGTAAATGTGAAGGTTCACGTGAAATATATTTCGTAAATGGTTTAGACTAGAGCCTAGCTAGGAGGCCGCACGGAGTCAATCATTATAGATCGACACGTGGACTTACCCCGACGCGGATATACCGCGAAACCGTACATTTCGACACTCAAAAAAGGTCTAATACCAATCTATACCCCGGGAGCTAACTTTTAGTAAGATACCGCGAAGATATACATCTTTAGTGACGAGATATGGCGTATACGTCGAGGATTGGCCTCCGAACTTACCTCGTTTAAACCTAATTGAACTTATATAGCGGTGGTTAAGATTGATATTTAAGCTCTTTCTAGAGATTATTGATATAGGAAGAAAGGAGAGCAATGAGTAGCGTTTTAAGCAGTGCCTAGTATATATATGGTAGGCAATACCGTAGGCAAAGATAGATAGCCTGATATTGAGTATAGGGAGATGTTTAGGAGCAGTACGGAAGCACTAGGGGTTATCATACAAAATATTAGTCGAAATTGATTATGCGGTTATTAAGCTTACTCACATTCTTTACTCGAACTAATTGGTTTAATGTATGGTGGTGTAGTTCTGTACAAAGTAGATATATCTATCTATTAGATGAGGGTGGCCGAAAAGTGGAGTGGGAAGATACTTTTGACTAGTGTCTGTATGTTGATAAATACACTGGGAATTGCCTGCATTATCTATACCATTATCGTGACTGCGTCTCTACAGTTTAATTATGTCTGTATGCGCCTTTAACGTGCGAAATAACAGCTGCAAACCTTTAGCATTAGAAATGAAGGCAAAAAAACCAACAAATCTTGATTTAGTGCCCTGAATAAGTAGTAACTACGGCTACTGCTGCAAGCCGCGCACACTGGCTTGCTGTCTTCAGTCGAGAAATATTCTGGGTGTGAGAGGACAACAAGCGAAACCAGATACATGGTAAATGCTATAATCAGGTGGTCCCATATCCCACTTCAGTCGCTGGCAGAAATCCTAGGATGGCATCGGCATAACACATTGGATTCAGTCACACTATAGCATGGACATGGAATACAAGTTATTCATTTCATGAGTGCGCAATAGATAGGGTGAGAAACAGGAGTGAGATTGGGTGGGAATAGCTTTGACCCTTTCTGATGCTTATGTAACATTGCAGTAGCCAGTCCGGCCGTTGCAGCTATTCCTGAAAAGTAAACATTGCGGCGAGGCTGAGCGTGACAGCAATGAGGGGTCCACATGGTCTTAGGTCTTAAAGATGGACTCATATCCCCCTTTTTCTCAGACGAGCAGGTGCATATCTCACGATGGCGGTAACAGCGAATGATCCTCATGAAGATAAGCTCTCCTCGCTCTGGTATCAGGCCTGCGAAGACTATGCCAAGGAGACCGAACTTGCCTTTACCAATGAGGGGCTCCCAGAGATGCGCGGGCCAGAAGACCTGTCTCGCCAGTTGGACAAAGAGAAGGACCATTTTGAGGACTTTCGGATGAAAAAGCGCCCGCTGCTGCATGCCATGCAGGTGGTGCTGGCGCCCTTTGAGAACTGGGGGGATATAATTGCCGGCGCTGCAGCTGCGGCCTTCCCACCGGCATCGACTATCATGGGTGCGATGCTGCTCCTGGTCCGCGGGGCACGGAAGGTTAGTGATGCGTTCAATATGATTATAGACCTCTTCCACAAACTCGGGAATTTTGCCCTGCGGCTGGATTCCTATAAAGGGGTTCCACTGAGCGAAGGCATGAGGACTATTATCGTGAAGGTGTTGGTCAATTATCTCCGAGTCTGCGCGACATCACACACCATTTTGGGTAAAGGTTCCCTGAGGGCGAGACTCTCGAAGTGGGCAAAGAACATCTTTATTGAGGACGAGTCCGTTAGCTCTCTGCTTGCTGAGTTGGAGGAATTGACCAGCCAGGAGCATTTGATGGTGTCCGCTCATGGACTCAAACTCACTCACCAAGCTCTAAGAAACACGGAGAAGTTGCTGGAGCGAGAAGATCGCAAGACCGACCGTGAGCAACTGGAGAGAGTAAAGACCGCATTGAACCCCATCTCCGCGTCTGGCCAGGTCTTCTCTTCCATCAATGAGAATCGGATACCAGGGTCAGGTCGTTGGATTGAGAATAGGCTCCGATCGTGGCGGCAAGGATATCAGCCTCTCCTCTGGCTTCACGGAGGACCTGGTGTGGGAAAGTCGCACCTGGCTTCTAAGATTATCGAGGATCTTTCCGAGTTAGGGGCATCTAACCCACCGGTCATTTGCTCCTTCTTTTTCAAGAACAACGACGTCGATCTACGCTCACTGAATAATGCCCTGCGGACTCTGGCATGGCAGATCGCAACACAACAACCCAGCTTCGCGTTGCACGCTGAAGAGTTTTCTCTCAGAGAGGACCCTGGGAACAGTTATGTTGTCTGGAGGAAGCTCTTACAGGATTACCTCAATGCGGCTCTATCTGACGCCGCGATCTATTTTGTGATTGATGGAATCGACGAGGCTGAGCCAGAGGAGCAGGAGATGCTTTTTAGCTTATTGGAAAAAACGTTCGAAGCAGAGGAGGACAACACTCAATTTCCATCGCTGCGGGTTATACTTCTCAGTAGGGACTCTGTGCGTCCCTTGATCGATGAGCACTCCTTAGGCTGGATCCCAGAAATTGAAATAGGGCATGAACAGAACAAGGACGATCTGCACGAATACGTCACTCAGAAACTGCAGAAGAGCAAGTTATTTCGCGGCTCTCCAGAGCTTCTAGATGAGATTGTCAACCAAATCTGTCATGAAGCCGAAGGTCTTTGGGAATGGGCCAACCTTGTAATCAAATCAGTTCTACGCTGTCGAACGAAGGAGCAGATTTGGAAAGTCGTCAAGACCGTGCCACGAGGCATCAGCGCGATGTTACAGCAGGAGCTGCAGCGCCTAAGCAGAGTACTGTCTCTATCAGATGGGCTGTCCGATAATGAAGGATCTACAGACGAAACAATAGCCCCAGGGATTGAGCAGCTCAACATTCTCCTCCCATTCGTAACCCTGGCGCAGAAGCCGCTAACGGTATGGCACCTCGATATCATTCTTGAGATTATCTTGAAGGAGGAGGTCTTGAACTTGGAAGACGATATTCGAACTGTGTACTCCTCATTATTCGCGACTAGGCCCAACGATGACCAAGATTCCTTTGGCGGCACTGAGGTGGTCACACTTCGACATAGTTCCTTCTATGAGTTTTTCAGGACGTCTCAAAACACCAGTCCAATCCAGGTCAACATCGACCGAGCAGAAGCGAGCTTCATCCACGTCTTCCTCTATTCTTTGCAGGAGGATAGGACGCCCAGATCCTCCAGAACGACACAGGACCTCGCTGGATACGCCATGCAGTTCCTGCCCTCGTATCTAACGAATGCACAACCGACACATGCCGGAGATCTACGGGAAGAAATATCCTCTCGTCTTGCGGATCTCTTTGCCGAAGAGCGAAATATGAAGTGGTTCGTCCTGAACGTGCAGGTCCAACAAATCGACAAGTATGAATTTTACCCGGATGCAAGACTATCAGAATTGGGCGAATACTACATCTATACGGACGGCCCAGAATATGTGAATGAAAGGGCGCAGCGTGTCTTGGATTGGCTTCTTCCAGAAACCCAACAGGCTTTTCGAGCGTATGCGCAATCCTCAAGTCTAGCAAGCGATTCATGCCCTTTTACGGTTCTCTTCTCTCGGATGGTAGGGTCCTGGGCCAAATTATGGCTGGATCCAGAGGAGATCATGGAGGATGATGGAAGGCCGGCGGTTTATCCCACCAATCTTGTAGTATACCGCAAAATGTCGACAGGAAACACGGAGCCTGACTTGAAAGAATCGTTGCTTAGAGTTACGTACAGATTCCCGTCCACGGTGTTGCGTGCGGCCGAAATGCAAGAGTTTCCGGAAACCCCAATGTGGCATGCGCGAGTAGCACAGGCTCTCTTTCTGCATTGTTGCTATAGGAAAGCTCTTCAGCACTTCAAAATTGCCTTACAGCAGCACGAGGAGTCTCCTAGCTTCGGCTCGCAGTCCATTTCTGTCATTCACCGAGACATCGCTCGCACTTTAACGGAGCTTGGAAAGCATAAGGAGGCACTGGCGCATTTCGAGTTAACTCGGGAATTGCAAAAGCACGTCCAGGGGCGAGATATTCCCAATGATCAGGTGAATGCTTTATTAAGCATTGCACAAATGAAGCACCGTGCGAAGCGGACCGAAGAAGCAATTTCAACTGCGAACGAAGCATGGGGCATAGTCCTGCGAAACGAAGATTATTGGTGGCGTCCAGACCTATTGTCCTTCTTTGAGATTTTCTTGGAGCTGCACCAGCTGCATCGTCTTCGGTCCATCTGGGATTTCGCTTTTGCCCAATATGAATCATTATCCAAAGAACGAAACAAACCAGATACTTTTCATGAATTCCTTCTCGACTCTCTTACTTTTCGGCCCCGCACAATGTACAGAGCTCTTCACCATGCCCTGACCAGAGACGACCAGAGTTATATCGACATCATCTCCGAAATTATGGCCAAGCTCTATATTTTCACCAGACAAGGGGTCAACCCTGTGGAGCTCAGGTATTTGCTAGCTACAGTCCTATTTGAAAAAGGGCAGACGAGCCGAGGAATACAGGGATGGTATGAGGTTGCAGCCGTTTCCCAGGCAGATGTTAAATGGGATATCTCTTATTCTCACGCTCGATCTATTTGTCACTTGGCAGCCTTGTGTCTTAGAGACGCAGATACCTTAACCTCTTTTGACATTCCCTCGTCGCTCGCTGAAGAACCTCCCTGCAGTGATGTCTGTCTGATCATTTCCAGTTGGCTTCAAGATCACGGGGATGCTACCAATGCTCGGGAGGTCCTCCGCGGCCGTGTAAAGGACTGCATCGCCTTGCTGTCCGACGATGATCCGTATAATGATAGCGACGCCTTCATAAGTCTTTTCAGGACGTTTCTGCTTGCTCCAGATAGCGATGAGGACCTAGGTGCAGTTCTGTACTTGATTAAACAGGATAACGAGCGGATAATGAGAGCCCACACTACCGAGGAACGTGTTAAAGAAGCGTCTCAAGATGATCAACCGAATGATCTATCCGAACCACTAGATCGGGTACTGCTCGTCGACGACAAAGACAGCGCGAACGAAGATCCGCTAGATGATGTATCGATATGGTTCAGCACCGCCCCTTTGGTCGAGTGTTTAACCTGCAAACGCGAGATAGGGTCCATCCACTATTGGTATTTCTGTCGCTCTTGCCCGCTCACAACCTTGTGTCCACGGTGCTACGGCCAGTTCCAGCAAGCTCCTACAAAACCTTGCGATGCAACCAAATTCCAGGGAATCTGCAACCCTCAACATGAGTTCTACTATACTGGCCCTTTTCTTCGGTACTCTGACCGCGTCCCTGATGGCATGGTTCCATTGGTTTCTGCTGCTGGAGAAAAACAGATTATATGGATAGAGGAGTGGAAAGAAAGACTTGCGAAAAAGTGGGAGATTGAAGACTTTTGGTTTGAGGGTGAACTGTCCGCTTGGTGTATGCGGGTGCTACCGGAACCTCATAGAAGTCGGTTTGCTACGTTGATCGGTCCTGGCGATCCATGACCTGCCGAGTGTAGAGGAGCTTTTCTATTAGCACAAAGCCTACTTAGCTCTTAGGCTTTGTGGCTATTGACACAGCTTTGTAATAGCCCCTGTCTGCTACGTGTCTCCTGACATAAAGCTATTTCCATCTTCGGGATATTGCTCGGGCTGGTCCGTTCGCAGCAAGACGGTGGCTCAGCTGGATGGTTACACTACATGATATCTCTGTTTTTCCCTCGTGTTTCATTTCATAGCAATGTTGGATTCCTCGTATTTCATTAAATAAAGAAAAAGAGATATCGCATTCGACTGTTTAGGGAGGACCCCGGAAGCAAGAGTCTTTTACTGAGGTCTCAAAAATCAGTCTTGCCACAATTTGACTTGGTTATTTACTCCTTCTTACCTGATCGACAGGCCTTTTACCCTGCAAGTAGATTATACCTTAACAGTTATTCACACACTCTAGTGCAATCAACGTTACAGCAAGCTCTTCTAAGAGAAGGTACTAAAAGCTTCGAAAACCATATTGTGTCATGCAAGCTTCACAGGGCTGGGGAGACTAAACCGCCTTGAAGCACACTGATTGGCCGGCAATCTAAGCTTAGCAGGTGCCGGTGGTTCCGCCCCGCCGGTGGAGGTTAAACTTAAAGTGGTAAAGCTCGTCTGCAGATATTAACTGTTTATTCATCTTTTCATTCTCGATTATTTGCCGACGGATATACGGAGTAAAAGACTAATACTGTCGCTATTGATTTGAAATCAAACTGGGCTCACACACTTGCCCAGGTGGTTGGATGTGATATCTAATGCGAGGACGCGAGGCCTCCGGGTTGATGGAAGGATCGTGCAGCTGGTTTGATAATCCAGGACAAGATATGTAGCCACCTGGGCAGGAACAGTGTGATTTAGGGTACACGATGACGATATTAACCGTGTAGTACAGAGTGGAGGAATCAAATGTTTATTCGAAGACAAGTCGCACAATCTGGAGACTACTGTGGCTGAGGAGTGTGGGTATGTAAAAAAAAAATGAAAGTGGTATTTTGGAAGCCTAAACCGGGTTTCATCGTAGACAGAAAGTAGTGTCCCACTCAAGGAGTCTCGGAGACGTTGTAAACCAGCTTCTCGCCGCTGACCTTGTCCTCCTTGAGCAGCTTCAAACCCTCTATCACACCCTGCAAGCCATTCGGGCCAACCTTGGGAGGGTGAACCTTGAGCTTGCCCTGGTTGAGCAGACTCTCAACAATGGGGATGAACTTCTCGGCGTGAGCTCTGTCCTCCGGCTTGGCGGGAAGGGGAGTGTCGCCGAACGAGAACGCCTCGCCAAGGGTAGTGTAAGCCAAGGTGAAACGGTCATTGACGTTTTCACGCTCGATCTTGACATTAAGCAGAGCGCTGTACTCGCCACCCTCGGTGGACAGGGCATTGTCACAGAACGCAGCGCTAGCCTCGAGCGAGATACAGTCAAAGGCAAGCTTCAGCTTGTTATCAGTAGCCTTGCGGATCTCAGCAGGGGCATTGGCGTCCTTGTAGTCATAGACTTCGTCGGCTCCAAGGCTGCGGACCAAGTCGAAGTTGCGAGGCGAGCAAGTGGTCAGCACCTTGTAGCCGGACAGCTTGGCGAACTGGATAGCTAGGGTTCCGGTCGCGGTGGAGCCACCGTAGATCAGGATCGGGGTGTTATCCTTGATCGGCTCGGTGGGCAGTGCCAGCTTCAGACTCTGGTACAGAGCCTGACCAACAGTGCTGATACCCACACCGAGGGTGGCGGCTTCCTGGAAGCTCATGGCCTCAGGGATCTTCCACTGCAAATCGCCTTTGACGGCGATGTACTCGGCGAAAGAGCCGTCTTCGGGCTGGACGGCGTTACCACCGTGCGTAAATCCGCACACGCGGTCACCCTTGGCGAATTTCTTTCGCACGTCTTTGCCGACGGCTTCGACGACGCCGGAGTAGTCACATCCCACCAGGACACCTGGAGGAGAGAGGTAGGCAATGTGCTTCCAGTCGGTGGGGTTCAAGCCCACACTGACGGTCTTGACGATCATATAGTCATCCCGGAGTTGAGGGATGGGACGGTCGGTGACGAGACCCTCCTTGCCCTTCTCGACGACGACAATTGCTTTCTGGGTAGACATTGTGAGATGATGTATAAATTAGTTAGAGAAGCATTGGATCTTAGCAGTTAAATAGTCGGATGTGGTGATTACAAATAAATCATGACGTTCTTCGGGAAGTCCCCACTCGTCCCTACTATTGCGCCGACTCCGTTCCTTTACCTCGGCTTCCTCTCTGTGGTACGGAAATTCTGTACTGCCTTGTTCTCAGGAATGAAACATGAATAATTTGGGAAACGGTTCCACATGACTCGTGTCCTAGAAAGAATGGGCAGACCTGCCCGAATTGCACTCCCTGCCTGGCGGCTTCTTCGGATGATCGCTTAAACGTCTTAACATGGAACAAAGCTCTATTGAGAGCAAAAGAGGCAGCATAAGATTTAAGCACACATCCCGGTTCCCGAGGATCCGCTACAGCACCTAGTAGGATGCTCAAGTCACGGCTCAGGCAGAATAACATGTACCTCTTCGGTATTTTGAATATACAACACCGTTCTAATATACAATGTGGGTAACTATAAAAACGTATTCGTATACTAGTATTGTCCTAGTAGCATACTAGTGTATAAATAAGCCTTACGTCCCCTCTCTTTAACCTCTAGTCTCAATTAGGCTTCTAACGGTATAGACTACTTCTCTGATCGAAATTCACGCAAATATTTCAAAACAAGTCGCTCCTCTTCAACTCGCTTAAGGGCATTTGCCAGAGCCTGGGAGACTGTTTATTTCACTTTCCCTGCCATACCATTCCGGAACGCCGAGATTCCTCGCTACCGCGTTGGCCAATATGCGCGGATCCGGCCCAATCGGGAAGAACACGCCTACAGAGGATGATGAACTGTATATTATTACCAAACAATTCTTACTGGGCTTCATTGACTCATATGGGCACAGGATACGGACTGGACGGAATGATCGATATTATCCACCACTACAGGATACGTGAATAGAATAAGTAGAGACCGATTGACGAAGAGGAGCGGATTTCTGCAATGAACGCAAAGGTATTTAATTCCCAAGAAATACCAACGTACTCCAACCAAGCAACGCTTGCGCTATGGATGCTATGGTATGAGTGGGGCTCTAATTGCTGCATTTTGCAGGACGCTCAAAAAGAGAATAACGGAATCTATACGAGTAGTTGATCTACATCTGAGCTACTGCATTTGTATAGATGCTGATCATCATAGTGACGGACGTCTACCTCGCATAGATTCAGACAAACCTTACCTGACTGGATGCTCGCCGCCTACGAAACATCCTGTTAAGTGATGAGTAGCACAAACCCTACTTCGTTCCGTACTGCTAGATCGAGGCTGAAGGAGTGGATAGACAAGAAGCGATGCTTGACTCCCTGATAGGCTGTGTCTACACCGAGGGCTTCTTTCTCCGTCGCCTGTAGCCAGGTGAAAGATTAGAGGTGTATCTTTACAAGATGGTTCCAAGGCCTCTACAACGACAAGTTTCGAGAGGCCGATGTCGACGTTGGAATTGATTTGGACATGGAAGCAAAGTGAGTTGAGAAACACGGAGTTATCGGAATAATGAGGACAATTTATCTTTTAGAATACAAGAAAACCCGAGGCTATCGTGATCTCAAACTGAGATAAGACCGAGAGTACTTTTCACTGTACATCGAGTGCAGTGGAAGGAATAAGCGCGGGGATCGCGGGGTCAACGCTTCTGCTCCCCACCAATTTACCATCCCTTCCTCTCACTTCTCTTTCCTACCCACAATGAAGGTCCTCTGTCTACACGGGAAAGGCACAAGTGGAACCATCTTCCGCTCCCAAATTTGTTAGCTCCCCCACCGGCCAGCCACTCACCGTAAAACGCTAATATCACCAGCTTCATTCCGCTCCAGACTACCCGGCGAATCTATTGAGTTTGATTTCATCGACGGTCCATTCCAGTGTACCCCAGCTCCAGGCATAGATCTATTTTACAGCCCACCCTACTATTCCTTCTGGGAACGGGATGATGTCGACTCCATCCGAGCTGCCTATGACTGGCTGACCGAATACATCGCCAAGAACGGCCCATACGATCTCGCGCTTATGTTCTCCCAGGGTTGTGTGCTAGGCTCTACTGCTCTTCTACTCCACCAGGAAGAGACACCCCACCTCCCACCGCCCTTCAAAGCTGCTATTTTCGTCTGTGGAGGCGCATCATTGATCATGCTGGAGGAGCTGGGTTTCCATGTATCAGCCGAGGCGCGCGCGCGCGATGCTGCATCTAGGACTGCTTTGGCTTCGCAGGCTGGGTCTTCAGCTGTGCTGGCTCAAGGTTCCAGTCGCTGGACCGGTCTCGAGTCTTTGGACAGTGGATTGTCGGAGGATGAATTGCGGGCTGAGATTAGAAGTCCATTCCGTATTAACATTCCCACTGCGCATATATACGGTGTCAAGGATCCTCGGTATGTGGCTGGCGTGCATCTTTCTGGAATCTGTGACCCGGAGAAACGCCGCACGTACGATCATGGTGGTGGGCATGAGATTCCGCGGACGGGTGCTGTCAGTGATAAGATCGCGGAGATGTTCCAATGGGCGGCTGCCCAAGGGGCTGTTTGAAATTAAGCATCGCTCGTATTGGATGCTGAGTTGGGCTGCTCGTCTTGTGAATTCTGTTGGGTTTCTTCATTCATAGATTCCGGATAAATATATACAGGGAGCCAATGTATAGTTGGTATTCGTACCCCCGGGCATGAACCAGTTGCCAGAATCACATTATCTCTCGCTCGAACAAGACAGTTTGCCTGGCTCTTGGTCTATTAGTGATTTTGAATCTCTTCGATCAACCGTGGGATCTCCTCGGGGCTCTAGAGTTGGGGTTTGGTAGCTGTTCAGCAGAAAGCGACAAAGAAGCTGAATTACTCAGCGTATAAGCTATATAAGCTACTCAGTGCCCAAGGGGCAATTTATTTGGCGTAAATCAATACCATCTCAAACAATATCTGCCACGCTAGTATCGATGATAAATTCTCTCATCAAGTACCCGTTTGAAGGCTCAGGACATTCATTGGCTATGACATCAAAGAACACAGCTGGGAGTCACCGAGTTCGGCTATTTCATGTAAAGATAGAAAATTGAAGTTGAGATCGTTAGCCGAATGCCCTATACCATTGTAGCCTTGATGATTGTCACGAAGATAAACTATAAAGATAGAATTTTATCATCTCCGAACACTACCATCTCTTAACATTAATATGTATGAGGATACGAGCGCCAAGAAAAACTCCAATGAGGGGAATGGGTCCTTACTTCGCCTCCAGGAATCTTGTTTAAGGTTTAACGTTACACCAATCTGCGTAGCATATTAGAGCTCGAATAGATTCTGGCCCATGCGGCTACGAAGATACCGGAATGACGTCTCTTCAATACCGGTGGTATCTTAAGTATTCAACGGGTACTAAATACGAGAAGGCGCGAAGTTCGTAGGTAATCCTACTAACCGTCTCGTATGCTCGCATTCACTCTTCATATTCACTTATAGCCACTATTGATTGCCCCACGAAGAATTGGCTCCACTTATCTCGCAAAAGAGCGAACCGACAATTCACTTCAGGTATATTTGAGAAATTATAAGTATGTCCCAGCATTCCCTTTCAAGATAGAATATCGGATATCCGTCCGAATTTCATACCTCAGCTACCTAAAGATGAAATTTGAAAAATATCTCCCCCTGCTAGGGTCCTCACTCTCGAGTGTAGCTGTCGCCGACTGTTTTGGAAATTATAGGGCTGTGGCCTATACAACCTCCAACGGGACATGGATGCCCTATGACAAGAATACTGCTCTCAAGCTTTCTTCTGATGGTATAACACCTTCAGTTGCTTTCCTTGATTATGGGCATGATGTGGAAGGTCTTGCCACTTTTGATGTTGCTCGAAGGTTCGGAAACACGTCCGTCTTCGAGATGACATACAGTGAGACTCGCGCTCTAGTGGACTCTGCAATGGTGAGCGAGAATTTGATTCACTTTTTATATAAGACTCTGAATTTCTTAGGGAGATGGCCCTCTTCCACTGGCTGCTGCTATGGACACGTACCGGATCAACCGATACAATATCACAGATGAAACCACCTACATCAACCGTTTGATCCAAGGAGGCTTACGCTACCAGAAGCTGAACCTCTCCAGTGCCGGAGAGATCGAGTTATCCTGTGTTGGGTTCCAACCTGCAGTATCCACTGCTCCCATCTCTGATCTTCCAGGCTCTTTCAAATGTTCCGATCCTGTTCTGAATCGCATATGGCAAGTTGGTGCTCATACCACGCAGCTGAATGAGATTCCAGCCAATTCTCTGCCAGACTTCTGGGTTCTCACCGATGAAGGCGCCTTTATTGACAGCCTGGCACCTCAGCCGCTCGCCACTGATTGGTCTACACAGCTGATTGCTTACGATCTGGAATTCTCGGTGAAGTCGACATCAAATGGATTTGGATTCACTGTCCTAAGTGACACCCTCTCGAATGGAATTTACATTCTCGTCAACATTGCCAATTCTTCCATATCCGCCCATGCAGGCTCTACCGAGAGATCCGTTCCTCTTGCATCAGCCACATTGCCATCATTCGTCACGATGAACAAATGGCATACAATTTGCAGTGTTGTGAATATGACCCAGATTTCTGTCAAAATTGATGATACTGTTGTCTTTCACTTCACTCAAACTTCTGCCTTCTATGGGTCCTTTGGACTGGGGGCATCCCTCGGCCATTCCGCCATTTTCTCGAATGTCTCCCTTTCCGTGTCGGGCCAATTAATGTACTTCTCTCCACTGAAAAACTCGTCTGCCTTGAATGACTTTCTCCTTGGCACGAACCCATTGTCTGTGAGCGTTGATGGATCTCGTCGCGATCGCATTGCTTATGCAGGAGACTTGGACATGACGACAGGCACGGCCTTTGCTAGCACATATGGCCAAGAATATCTGAACGGTTCAATTGAGCTGTTAGGTTCATTTCAATTGCCTCCTGGTTTTTTCGTTCCCAATGCCAAGATCCAGCAGTCTCCTCGCACCTCTGAGATTGACGGGAACATTACTGGTCTTATCGGATATTCATTCAGCATTGTCAGCTCTATGGCTCGCTTCTATGAACAAACGGGTGATCTGGCCTTCCTGAATCGCTGGGCACCAAAAGCAGCTCGAATGTTTGATTGGGCTCACTCACAAACCCTTGCTAATGGTTTATTCAATGTCTCTAACTCCGCAATGGGAGGTGACTGGAATTACTATGATCCTTCTATGAGTGGGGTGGTTGCTAAATTCAACCTCGTCTATGCCTATACCCTCAAGCAATGGATTCCCTTCATGGATGCTGCAGGTCTGAACAGGAACAGATATGCGTCGCACTTGCACACACTGCAAACCGCTATCAATAAGCATCTCTGGAGTGACACCCTGCAGGCATATTATCTATCGGACACTCATAAGGATTTCTTCTCACAAGAGGCAAATGCTCTTGCTATCCTAAGTGACACGGCGATGATCAAAAACGGAACCTTCAAACCTGTCCTCGAAACAATGGCACGGGAATTGTACTTGCCCGCAGGAACACTTGCATTCTCCAACAAAAGCCCCGCAAGTGGATGGGCACAGAAGGTTAGCCCTTATGCCTCTGGCTATCATCTGAAGGCCGCTTTCCGTGCGAATGATAGTACCAATGCGAGGCATCTTCTCCACAACGTCTGGGGCCCTATGAGTGACCCAACTCATAGTGATTATACCGGTTGCACGTGGGAAGTCATGAATGCTGATGGTACCCCTGGACTTGGGTCTTCAACTTCAATGTGCCACGCTTGGGGTTCCGGGCCGACAGCCGATTTGAGTCGCTATGTTCTTGGAGTACAACCTGTGAAGCATGGCTTCGAAGAGTGGCAAGTTGTCCCCCAGACGTTGGATCTCGATTGGGCTCAGGGCAAATACCCAATTCCCAATGGAAAAGTTCATGTGAACTGGTCATTTGATCGGGCTGACTTGCTTCACATGACTGTCATTGCTCCCGAGGGAACTAATGGAACTGTCTATCTTCCTGCTCCGCTGAAGAGGAAATTGACCAAGTACGATGCATCGGGTTTTACTTCGACCAACGAAGGATCCTTTACGGTCCAAGGTGGGAAGAATTTCACTTTCCACCAAACGTCCTGAGTTGCAGGTTTTGACAATTGAAATTGCTGCTTGTGGAAATGTAAACTGATGTACCATAACCCAATTTTCTTTTTTCTTTTTTTCTTTTTTCTTTTTTTTCTTTTTTGGTTTCCCTGAGCATCACTTATGTTCTGTTTCTTTCAGTTGCTGCCTGTCGAGGATCCAAGCGGGATTGAGATTACACTACGCCAGTATGTCCATCTAACCTGATATAGATGGTGGCAGTACCAGGCACCAGCATGTGTTTAGACTTAGATCGCGATGCCACAGCTTATAGATCCACTGCGATCCATAACCTTCTTAGTTAATGAAATAATGGTGAGAATGATCTAATTCCTGGGAAGCTGAGGAAGGCTTGATAACTATCTAGAAAGTCCTGTAAGGATGACCAGATGGATCCGGGCGCCAGGAAATGTCAACATCTTCCTCATCCGAGCTTTCGTTGTCGCCCTTTGCTTTCTTGGGTCGTGCGTGGCGAAGTCGATCACCGCCAAAGGCTTTGCTGCGCTCAATGGCTGTCTTGTAATCCTGAGCTGCAAGATATTGTTAGCACATTGAATATCTAAATACCCGATTGTAGCAGCCAGCTACTTACTGGTTCGTTCATCTATATCATTCGAGCCGGGTTCAATAGGATCTTGAATTCCTTGGCCATTGACAGGCTTTTCAGACTGGGACTTTGTGTTCTGCATGTCCGACCGATCTGCCATGTCCGAGATTAAAACAGATTTGAGAAAAAGTGATTTTCGATCACAGTAGGTGAGGGAGATATTTAATGCTCACACCTGGAGGGGCTATACTTATACTGTGACCGTTCAACGTCACCATGATTATTGATGACATGGTCAGGGCATTTGCCCCTGGCACTATCAAATTTGGAATAAGCCTGATAGTACACTTTCAATTTTCTGTGGGTTTCCGTGCGCATTTAGTTGTTAGATATGATATACTGATGTACCTTACTATGTTTCTTGATAAAAGTTATATTTGCAGAAAAATGGTATCTTGTATTCCTATGGGATACAATGCCAAAATCTCTCGATACTTGCGGCGATCGCCACCACAAGTGCCACCGTTATTGAGGACATGTCCGTAGACTTTTGGGGATTCCTAGAACGGAGTAGCTATTTACTTTCGTGAGGCAGTAGAGTTTTATGGCTTTCTCTTATTGAAGGGAATTTGTTGGTGCGAGCTCATAGGATTTGAAACACTTCTTAAGGTCACTGATTTATTTTCAAATTGTCAACTTGCGCAGCTTTCCAGATAAATAGCATGCTGCCGGAGCTTTACTCCCGAACACAGAATGCGGCGCCTAAGGAAATTCCAAAAAACAAAGCACTTAGTAAAATTATGCTCATTTGACGAGCTTGATTGTCAAGCTAGCTCTAGTAGTCCCGCTCATGGCTAATTTCTGAGCAGTAACTGGATACTACGAGCCATGAAGCTACAGGCTCGCATGTCGCCAAATGGCGCCTAGTGACCTTCCGCTGTCCGAATTGACCCATCTTAAATATGCCTACGCGTACATCAAGCCGAAGTCCTATGAAGTGGAAATAATGGTTTATCAACGCCTGAAAGATTGTTTACACTCACTGTGGATGCGAAGAACTACAATTCAGATTTGAAAGTGTGGCTAAGTCTATCGGCTAAGCCATCAACTACTCCTTGCCCTGGGCTCGAGCATGCCGCACGCCTTCACTCGCCGTTGTCAAGATGACCTTGCCAATCTTCTCAATCTCCTCGAGTCTTTTCAACCAGAAATTCCACCGATCCATGCTCATAGGTCCCGCCTTCCAAAGCCTCCCCTCTCTCTCTAACGCCCAGGACTTCTCACCTTTCTTCGCGCCCTCTCTAAGTCTTTCCCCGGCTATCTTGATCCACACCGCCGCAGCAGGTACCTCAAAGTCCCACACCGCATCCTGAAATTCGAGCGCTTCGGAGATGCACTCATAGCCCCAGCTCAATGGTAAGAGACCATCTTCAGCATTCGGTCCCGGAGCAGCCATTGCACAAGATGCCTCCACAAAAGCTAGGTGCACGTGGGCCTCGCGCCTCTTCGCTCTTGTGGCTGGATCCCGCGTCGCCAACGCTTTGCGCCAGTGGCTCTGCTTCCATCCATCTGACCAAGAGTTGCCGAAGCTCCTGAGACCTTTCCAGACTGGGTCGCCGTCCTCTTCGTCTGGTAGCTGGCTAAGTTCCTTTAGCAGGACGACAAGGGCGGGCGTGTGGCTTTCGGGCAGCTCAACAAGCGCGTCTTCGATTATGCCCAGTACGCGGTCTCGCAGGTCGGTCTTCTTTTCGGAGTCATGAGGCTTGGTCATGGCGGCAGCTGTCTCAGATGGCTTGGAGTCGCCTTTTAGGTACGCTTTAAGGGCTGCAGCTTGATGAGGATGCGCCCCAGTCTCTTCCTCGCCGTCCATGGGTGCAGTATGTTGGTCGAACCAAGCGTCGTCGGCGGCGGAGCCGAAGCCGTCGAGCTCGACCGATTTGCACGTCATTTCTTGAATGCTGGTGTTCATGATGACGCAGCGTGAAGGCTCTTGAGGGAATGAGTTTTGGGTCTTTGGGTGTTTGGGAGATAAACAGTTACTATGTTGCGTTGCTGGGACGGGTAACGTGATGGTTGCGTTATGTTCAAGAAAGGAAAGTGTGGAATGGTCGCTATATCGAAAATTTCGAAGAGGGGCAACTAAGCAGCAGAAATCCAAATTAGAGTCACACAACTACCCGACGACGACCGAGGAAGCGCAGTATATTTCTCCGTCCTGTTGCAACAATAGCCAAAAGTGACATCATTAGGCCGCCAATGATGACTGATTTGGGGCCATCCAGGACCGCGGACAAGGGGTCGGAAATAGCGACATGCCTACCTGACACCACAACAACTTGTTCAGTCTAACCGATATTCACGCCCGCAAACTGCATTTACTATCGTCTTTTCTCGCCCGACTTCTTTGATAGATATTGGGTGAACTGTACAACTTTGTTTTGGCCGAAAAGACACGGGCTAAAATCGTGCCCATCTCAGGCAAGAGACTTTGCGGCGCCGCCAAGCCGCTTAATCCCGTCAGCCGCATTGTGGGGTCTGGGGCCGAGACGATATTGGGGGCTGACGCCCCCAATAGAATCCTCCTAGCCTTGTGTTCAAACGAACGAAGTAATTGGGCAGGCACGAGGCCGAGAGCGGTCAAAGGCTTTTTGCAAAAATATTTACAGAGCATTGGACTAGCTGGCCCCCATACACAGCCTCCATACGGGATGTCATAAGTGCTGTCGTGAAATGAAGGCCATGTGTCATGGAGATAGGTATTCGCTGTGGTGCCGGCATAATGGCTACAGGCATGCGTACCGGGGTGGAAATCACCGCCTCATAATGTTGCCTTGGCCCCGGCCCCCGCGCGACATATGCTTCCTTCGTCAGCCGATCGACGCTCTGGTCGACCATATGCTATAATTCTGTGACTGCTAGTGTAGGACGTTTACTCAACCCTTGTGACTCCATCAATAGTTATAAGAGAGCCTTTGCCGGCTCGAAGATTCGAACAACAAGCACTCAGACCTCATCTCAACATCAACAGTTCAATCACGACCCTGCAGCAATCGTTTTCTACTCAAACTCCCCAACCACAACAATGAAGCTCACTTTGGCAACCATCTCCATCCTCTTCTTGAGCCTCACCTCCGCCCTTCCGGCCGAGGACTTTGCTGATCTGGAAGAACGTGCGGAGCCCTCCAACGCACCCATTGACGTATGTTAACCCTCAGCCAACTTGAAACCTTCCCATGCCGACTGATACCTCTTGCAGTGGGATGGTCCCAACGCCTCTGCGTCCATCAAGTGCGGCAAGAACACTTATGATGGCCACGATATTTTCCTTGCCGCGCAGCACGCCGTGAACCTGGGCCTGCTGAACCCTCCTGAGACGCGAGGCGCGAAGAGCTACCCGCACCCGTTCGACAACGATGACAGCAAGGGTGTGAAGCTGCACTTCCCTGCTCACTGCCCGGAGCACGACCAGAACCGAAAGGAGTACCCGCTCGTCAAGAACGGGCCTTACAATAGTGGCAAGAATAACAAGAAGTACGGGGATGAGCGCGTCGTGTTTTACTACGATGGCGAGGCGCAAGGTGTGGATGGCCACCCGTTGGTTTACTACTGTGGCTTAATGACCCATGAGGGTGCGGAGCGGGGCGGTTTCGTGCAATGCCCCGATGGAAAATAGGCTTGCACCCAAGTCCATACACAGATTCCGAGCGTTGAAAAACCGGTCCATGAAAGAATTTTGGAGGTTGTTGGGCTGGGTGATTGCATGAAAGGGCTTCTATCCAAGTTCGCTCACCAACCCCGATTTTTCTTGGGGCGGTACCTTTGTATCCACGCCAGCATCATATTTAGAATGTAAATAGTCTAGTGTACAAATTTGATCTGCTCCCTTTCTACGAGAACTCGCAGTGGAGGACCGTCGCGACTTCCATCCCCGTCGCTTCAACACCTCTTCTTCACTACTTGGTTCCCTTAGGCGCCGTTTCTGTCGCAATTTACGCGATGCAAGAAAATATTTAGCCGATGATCAGACAATATTTTTGTCGCAAAAATCCGACTACAGAGCGGTCGAGAAGAATGATAAACTGACTATTTCGTTCAGTTTCATTTGGAACAGTGAAAGAAGTAGGATGTTTATTGATTACTATTTGCTAAAAGACACACTTCACGCGCATTTCCTTATACTTAGGACCCCCCTCCCTCCCCAAAGTGTGCTGCACATATTATTTAACCTTGCGTTAACTGAGAATAACCCTGTTTGCTTGGGGGTTTGAGATCACGTACGTTCACTGATGAAGATTTCGACATTAATCCCTGGCGAGTTGAATCATGACCTGACCAGTAACCTGCTACGTGTGCAGTCCACTCTGTCCTTAAAGAAACCGGATGTGGTGGCCCAGATACAGTAAAAACCGTGCCTGGCCCCAGCCTGTCCGTCCACTTCGTTTCCAAAATCATGTTTAAAGCTGTTTGAACACTGATCTAGCTATTCTGAGGTGCGCCACAGTCATCTTTACTTCCCGCCCCGCGTAGGTCTTACGTAGACTGACCTACTTCGAAGATTGCTTCTTCAGATACATAGATATAACAATACGCGGAAGTAAAGTAGTCTTATGGGATAGTAATGTACTCATGTCATCTCTTTGTTGCGTAGCCCACGACTCCACAAGAAAATAAAGTCAAAATAAGCATAATAAGTTGATACATGATTTGATACGAAAACATTGGTTCTTATTTACAGTGTTTTGGTCTTATAAACAAAGCTCCGCTTTGATCGTGTCAACCAATCCTGAGAAGTCTTTCCTGGAATCTAGAGAGATCCTTACAAGTAGACCTTGCGACCTTTAACCTTATCTGGCCATGCACGAACTAATATCGGAGCTGTTGGTGGGACCGATTGAAGGTAGGACGTGTTTAAAAATGCTGTGACCGCCTGTTTGCAGGAATTGGCAAGGATATGGTCTATTAAGAGGGCAATGTATCCGCCAAACAGTTTCCCATTGTAGTAGGACGTCTACCAACTATGCTAGCAAGCGTGCAGCATTTTGCGAGTGCGGTATTCGTGAATTTGGGGTGAGCTAAAGGTAACTAGTTCAAGTGTAAGCTGGTGCTCTTTCACATACTGGTAAAAATTATTTCTAATATATTCAGCCAGCATGATGGCTGATTGTGAGCACCCACCCTAAGGTGTGGTGATCATCCAGTGTGTACGACCTACTAGATAGTAGGCCACTCTCGGCTTGCGACTTGCCATTCTGTGGAACACTCCCTTATGTACCTAACCCTGTTCTTCGTGTTCAACTATATATTGTTACTTGCCTTGATGACTGTTTACTTCATCATAGTTTGGTAACATTACGGAGAGACCGATACCTCGGTATAGATCTATTCGGTGCCCCACCTCGCATCGCTCCTCAATACCCTTAAAAGGACGTTGCGCGTATAAGACCTAGCGGACAACGGTACAATTCAAAGACAGATAATCGACGTTGGAAACAGAAAAGCCTTATGCAAGTATAACACGTGATCCTTTAACATAGCGACAACCCATCCAGCCATCTGGTGACATTATCGCAAGTTTTGGGCTTGCCAAACATAAGTCAAATATTCTTGTGGAAACTTAGAGTTGGGTCCATGACAGTGGCAAAGTTTTGACAGTACTGATCCAGATTTACACTATAAAGAAGACTCTAATTCGACACGTTATTAACAAGGGCAACCAAGTTGCAATCATCAGTGGCCTATGTTGGGGTGGAATAGCTTCATAATAGATTTAGGGCTCATAAGAAGATACTAGCCCGTTTTAGAAGCTGCGTATCGGCTATTGTGGTCTTGATTTAGAGCAAATCGGTCTTATCACTGTAGGAGGACTCAATGAGAAACGTGTAGGTCTAATCAACGAACTTAAGAAATTCTGTAATTCTGTATCTGGCTTTCTACAAATCTGTATAGGGCCCGGCCTAGATAAATCATTTCGCCAAAACTGGAGTATCAATCAATGCTTTAGTATACCGGCTTTATTTCGCCGACAGAGATTAATAGTGTACGGGCTTAGTGCGCCACATGGTGGACATGTGTAGGTTGCCTGGTATGTCTGCACGGTGGCAGCATGCATCTTCCTGATCTGTCGCCTTGTGGTCCGAGTGAGGCTCCTGAAACGGCTTTACCTTGACGACCTGTTCGTTTCTCTGGCTGCCTTGTGTCTAATCGGAGACCTGGCGATCCGGCATTATATGTTCAATCAGGGTAGGTGTTTCAATAAATGAACTGGTGGAGCAAGCTTCTAGGACTCCACTGACGATGCACAGGCATGTCTGAAATGGCGAAGACAACTGTGGATGAACAGATTAATATGACGAAGGTGAAACAGCCTGGGGTTGGAAGAATATGCGACCACATTGTTGATTTCTTATCGAACAGATGATTATCCCGGGATCCACATTATATGTTACTTCGCTGTGGTTGATCAAGTCCAGCATGGTGATCTTATACAAGCGCCTGGCGGATCGCACTCGGTATCAGATTGTGTATAACATCACACTTGGTTTCCTGGCTGCGACCTGGCTAGTGCTGTTTTTCGATAATATTTTCAAGTGCTATCCGGTCCAGCGGCAGTGGAAAGCGATTTTAAATCCTGAGTGTGGGGATGCTTCTATATCAACTTCATCACAGACAAAGGGACCGACGATCTTGTAGTGACATGTCCCCAGGACCTTCCACAGTCAATTATTGGCTCACCATTCTCTGTATGGCCCTCTGTCTTGAAATAATTGGACTATCAACTAATTTTACAGTCAACATCTTCAGTGATGTCTTCAGTAAGGCGTCAAGTTCAGTTAATTTTCAATTGCTCCTAACCTAATCTAGTCATCTGCCTCCCCATTACGCAAGTTGCGAGACTCAAAATGACCAAGAAACAAGAGTGGGCTGTCATCTGTCTTCCTCCTGGGTATTCTTGTAGTCATCACCAGCAGTATGTCTCCCTTCTCTCCTCTCATATCATCTCCATTAACCATGTACCCAGTCATCCGGGCAATCTACTCCTACCGCAACGAACAAATGGTCACCTGCACCGTCTCCATGATCGAAACCGCCATTGCCATCATCGCGTCTTGTCTCCCCGTTCTCCGCACCCTAGTATTCGGCTCGCACTCTCGCACGGGAACCTACAGCGGCCATCGCGGCTACGAGCTCTCACACTCTGGTGTGCATACCGGCGGCGTCAGCAGGCAGCACACCACCGTCTCCACCTCACAGAGTCAGGTTGACCGTGGCGTAGATGACATCTCGTTTAATGACTCCGAGGACGGATTAGTGAAGGATACGGCACCGATTTCTGGGCCAGGGATCGCCGTCAGACATGAGTATTTCGTGCATCAGGATTATGCGTAAGGCACAGAACTTCTGTGTGGCTTGCGAAGCGCTCACCCGTCGAGTGTGTATACCCGCCACACGATTTTCTCTATTAAAACTTGGATAAATCATAGCCGTATCTTTAAGAATTTAAAGTTTTCAACACAAGGCTGGACGAGATCAGGAAAAAGGCCGCATGATCGGAAACGATCTCTGCACGACCTATACAAAGATTGACGTGGTTTGTAAGTCGTGTTAGAGCTTATGTCGCGCATACATGAACCTGTATTACCTTGAAGGACAAAAATTTCCCTGAATTACAGCGACACAGCGGCACCAATATTGGCGCTGATATCGATATCTTCCAGGAGTATTCACAGAAGTAAGCAGGTGTCTTGACGTCATACACGAGTTCACAACGGCGAATTCTAACAAAGAATTTTCTAGGATAAATCGCATTTTAGCAAAGGCATAAGATTGTTAATTTTTCATATTGACACAGTCGTGAGGCATGTCTTCTACAGGATTTTCGGTCGACAATTCTTTCCTGTCTGATGAGACTCTACATGAAGCTTATGAGCTTGAAGTTCAATCGAAAAATGGTGAGCCCGTTCGCTTCGGTGAGCTGGTTGCTGGGAAGGGGGACTCAGTCACCACAGTGGTCATCTTTGGTGAGCGATTTACTTTTGGCTGGATTCACATGTTCTCACAACCCATCAGTCAGACACTTTTTCTGTATCTATGATCAAGACTATGTCCGCAATCTCGCTGGGCAGATGACCCATACAATACTCGAAACGATACCAAATCATGCCAAGCCGGCACAGGTTATAATTATCGGTTGCGGTGATCACACCCTTATCGGACCATACATGGAGGAAACATCCGACGCCTTCCCAATATATACCGATCCGACAGCAAAGATATATAAGGAGCTCAAGATGAAGAGAACCTGGACGGGATTCAGTGAACCACCGCCGTACTCACTTGAATCGTTCCCTAGCGCTCTATACAAGGACCTCAAGCAGAGATGGAAACGCGGATGGTCTGGGCTCAAGGGCGGTGCTGGAAATCAACAAGGGGGCGAATGGATCTTCCAAAGAGGACAGTTGAAATATGCGCATCGTATGCAGGGCGCGAATGATCATTTAACGGCGGATCGCTTGCTCAATATTTTGACAGTGGATCAAGGTCAAGGGGAGAAAGACTGAGCCTACACTTTGGTCATGAGCAGGTAAGGCGTTCAGGAAAATCAATCGCAAGAACAACCATGACATTATGGCGAAGGTGTACGACAGTTTGTTTAGACCGAATCGAAGGGAACTGCCAAGCCCCTTTTCACTACACAGTTATCCTCCAGAAAGGCGGTCTTTGTTATGTGGCTTTCATATCTGCCAAAGGAAGCTGAGATTCTGGTCCAATTAGGATGAGAATTGCAACAAGAAAAAAATAGGACAAGACGAGGCTGTGACGAGGAAATGCTATCAAGCACCCGGGTGAACATGCCAGATCTACATATACTAAGGACTAATGCTAATTATACACAGTTAACACATCCCTGGTGCGCATGGAGAGCTGGGAGCAGTAGTGCACTACAGGTCTCACATATACAAGGTGGCGTATTGAAACTAAGCCTAATGCACGAATATTCTGAGAGAGGGGATCTAAGTATATCAGGATTTGTGTATAACAATGAGAATAATCTGTTATATGACATATTTCAATTGCAAGCTCGAAGTGGTCGAAGCGAATTGATTATATTTGACGCGAAGGATATACGGTTCGTACCGTATTGTGGCTGAATGATCGGCTCTACCCGAGAGCACCTCGGCTTTTGATCTCAGGGATGGATGCTCCAAACGGCCCCGCGTTTACGGCAGCTTTCACCGTAGATAACTACATACAAATCGGTTGCCAAAAAAGCATGTGTCCGATCTTGCGACTCAAAGCTACGTTCTGACGTTGATTTGGAGATGGGCTTAGATCGCCGGGCCATGACATACATGTTTCTCGGTCACTGGGGTTAGCATAAGTTAGCTGACTTATCCCCCGATCATAGACGCGATTTTCCGGCTTTTGACGAAATCGACCCCACTTTCACGACCTTGCAGTATGTAATCGAGCGGTAACGTGAGTACTCGCATATAAAACAAATAACTTCTCGTCATCGGTCTCAGTCCGGCTTCAGTCTTTCATCAAACCTGAGATTTACCACCATGACTGGAGGACCGATTTTCCTCGTCCCAGCCAGTGACGAATACTATGATCTTGGCTCATTTGGCCACACGATAACTACCACCAGCGCCGATACCCAAACCTGGTTCAATCGAGGCCTAACATGGGTGTATTCATTTAATCATGTAGAAGGCGCCCATTGCTTTGAGCAGGCTATTGCGCATGACCCGGCTTGCGCGATGGCATACTGGGGTCTCGCGTACGCAGTCGGCCCAAACTACAACAAGCCGTGGGAGAAGTTTGATCATGGGGACCTCAACACCTGCGTTCAGCGGGGCTTCGATGCCTCGCGAAAGGCCAAAAAATATGCAGTGAATGCGAGTGCCCTTGAACAAGCTCTCATCGAGGCCATTCAATTCCGGTTTCCGACCAGCCTGCCCGCGAAGGACTACCCAGCAGTGAATAAATGCTATGCTGCCGCTATGAAGCCTGTCTATGAGGCTTTCGGGCATGATCTCGATGTTGCCACGCTCTATGCCGATGCGTTGATGAATATGCACCCTTGGGCGTTGTGGGACCTCTTTACTGGCAAAGCGAACCCCAAAGCCCCCACCATGGAAATCAAAGCCGTGCTAGAACGGGCGCTTGCACAGGAAGAGGATGGTGCATATTTGAATCCCGGCCTGCTTCACCTTTACATTCACTATATCGAGATGTCGCCGGCCCCAGAGCTAGGGATCAACGCAGCCGATCAGCTACGTGATCTCATCCCCGCTGCTGGTCACGTCCGTCATATGCCCACGCACTTGGATATCCTCATTGGCGATTGGAGGCGCTCCATGGCCTCAAACTACAAGTCGACTCTGGCTGATGACGAATATTTCAAGAAGAAAGGCGCGAAGAACTTCTATACTTTCTACCGCATGCACGACTATCACTCCTTGATCTACGCGGCTATGTTTGCGGGCCAATCTAAGACTGCTCTCGACGCAGTCACTCGAATGGAAGCCACACTGCCCGAGGAAGTCCTTCGGATCGAGTCACCTCCCATGGCCGACTGGTTGGAACAGTTCGTTCCCACTCGCTTGCATGTGATGGTTCGCTTTGGTATGTGGGAAGAGCTTAAGCGCAAAGAGCTACCCCACGACCAGGAACTATATGCAGGCACTACTGCAACCACCCACTACGCGAGAGGTGTAGCATATGCCGCCACTGGAGATTTGGCTGCAGCCAAAAAGGAGCAGGAGCTATTCCACGAAACGTGGGCGCGGGTCCCTGAGACACGCCTCTCCTACAACAGCAAACTCGTCGACGTGCTCAAGGTGGCTGCAGCGATGCTAGAAGGGGAAATTGAATACCGTTCTGCCAATTACGACAAATCCTTTGCTTCCCTCCGGAGTGCAATCGATATCGAAGACAAGTTGCAATATGCCGAGCCTTGGTCATGGATGCAGCCTGTCCGCCACGCATATGCTGCCTTGCTGATGGAACAAGGCCATTTGGAAGAAGCGGCGCAGACGTACCGCGCGGATCTAGGTTTTGACAAGTCTGTTATCCGGCCGCGTCGGCATCCTAACAATGTCTGGTCACTCCAGGGATATCATGAGTGTCTGGTTCGCATGGGTAAGACGGAAGAAGCTGCTGGGATTGAGGCGTCGGTCAAGCTAGCTCTTGCTGTCGCGGATATTCCGATCGAGGCGTCATGTTTCTGCCGCTTGGATAACTCTTACGCGCCACAGGTTCTTAATGGGGGCCCTTCTGGTGGAAAATGCTGCTGAATTGTTGATTGAATCTGCTTTGCGGTTCTCACAAAATGACTCCATTTCACGAGATCAGTTATCTCAGGGTTTTGATAGCATCATCAAAAATTTCGTATCTTTCCCGAAGAGTCAAAGCAGAGTAAAACGTATCAATAAAATGCCTTGCAGTGCGTTGATATTGACAAATCCAAGCCTCACTTGTATTAGGTCGGCCGTAGGGCTATGAAGTCTAGCTGTGGGCCTTCCAAGGTTGTCTTGAGGGGCACGGCATTGTCAGCACGTCGCGTGGGACTATGAGAATCGAACACCAGTGATGCATCTAGTCTCGTGACATAGCTAGAGTTGACTGAGAATCACAATGCTGATATTCAAGACACTTGAGTCTCCTTTGTTATCAAGGGTCGGGCATGGAATACCGGATACATATACCGGCCAGGTTGGGTTTCTCCGCTAGCCTATCTAGTAGCCCGCAGCCCGGCACGGCCCGTCGGCCCCCAGTCCCTACAGTGGACCCTCGGAGCCTATTTAAAGCGAGGCTGTTACTGTATTTTGAGTCCTGTTGAATTGCATTAAAACAACCATACAAGATACCTTCGTTACGCTAGCAAATGTCCCAAGGTTTGTAATGGGGTTTACAACTGGTTTCTAGGTAGTGTATCGTGCGTGTCACGAATGCGGTGCACGTGGTTCCAGGTCTGAGGAACGATTCATTGCTACTGCAAAAGGACAGATAAGTCTGTGGAACCATTCTGATCTTGTACCCATTCCTTTCGGTGGCAAAATATAATCAATCTTGCAGAGGTTGTATTTGGATACTGGAGGTTATCAATGCCAAAAACTGCTACTCAACATCTGACTTCAACAAAAGACCCGGAACATCAAACCGGGCTTATCTCTATGTCCTGGCTCTAAGACCCGTGATTCTCTTGCAATTCCAAGTACTTTCATCCTTATTGGGAGTCCAGGGTGAAAGGAGCCTATCAAGTCGTCCAATCCTGTCGTTATGAATGTATCTGGGACACAAATGTCACCCTGGAGGCGCGGGGACCAGGGGGGATTTGGAATTACAAAGGCCCCGAAACAACGGATCCCACATGGTGGTATAATCCCAGTGTAGCAGAAGGCTGACGACGGGACACCAATAACTTGCAGTAGTAACGTGATACTGTATAATGAAGCAAAGGGAGAAGTACCTTTTTTTCCGTACTCATACTTGTGTACTTTAATGTGGTCTTTATATGAGGCTCTTACGGACAAATACGCACCACTAGAGAATATCTCTCCTGAATCTAGAGTTTGCAAATGCGGAAAGTAGCTTTCGGCGGTCATCGGTAAGTCCCAGGAAGCCTGGGGTGAAGAGAGTTTCGATTGTTCCGATGTTGCAGTAAATAGGTATTTGACTACACGGAGCCTCTATTTAATAAATCAACGATATGGTAGCCGGCAACAAGTTTCGGCTTCCAAGAAATACTGACTTCGACTAGTCTCCTTCTTTAAATTGCCTCACAGCTAGATGTCTGACGCTCGGGTGATCCCTCGTACCTGGCATATTATGCCGTACCACATTATTCCGTCCCTCCATCCAAATATAGTCCTGCGAGTGCACGCGGATGATTTGCTCTTGCTTATGATCAAAATGATCGAGAGAATACATGCTTCAATCTTGAAGCCTGCAATCAGTGAGTCTGGATTACAAGCCCTGTCCAATATCTGATCAAAAAGTCCCGGGTAGATTGTGGAAGTATTTGAACACTTGAGAAAGGTCCCGAAACATACCAATGCCTATGTCAGCCTCGGTATATTAGCGCACGTGCTGAGCAAAATGATAAGACTGAAGTCTGTAAAATGACAGCGCTAGTCTAGCTGGTCAAAAGTCGATATCTCCTATCATTAGGGGGCGCTTCCTATAGAGAATCATATGATAAAAAGCGTATTTTGTCAATGTCAGTCCTTTGACAACAACCAGTCGGCATGCTCTCTCTGCACCAGCAAGTCTCACCGGGGAGCAAAGAACCTTATTGCCGATCAGCAATTAACTAATTTGCTCATTTCAATGCCGCACGTGGTGACTTGTGACATCTATTGAAAGCAACAACTGACAAATAGCAGTTAAACCCCATATATTAGTATCTGCCGATTTTTCCTCCCGGTGCGCACGGTGTGATCGGGACACAAGCCTCCCACAGAGACACCTATCACCAGGACTCTGGGTCTCTCCCGGTACCCAATCGAGGCAAATAGAGTTCTTGTTTCTTCGCACGCACGAACGGAGATAGCAGTGGCTCCATAAAGAGTCATCTACCAAGATTTATGGATTGACGCTGAGAACTTAGTTCATGTGATGCCGATATAGGGGGTAGGAAAACAGACGTAAAATAGGGCTTGTGCCAAACGCTAAGAGCTACAGTGTTAAAACTGAGAACGTTGTCAAAATAGTCTCTGAGAACCTTGGAAGCCAAATATGAGGTTTATCTGCCGATATCAGCGTTAGATTGGCTTCACACCACTTGAATGTTATAAATACCAACACTGAATACCCGTCTCATTGGCTTGTTCAAGAGTTTTGCTTTCTCTGAGCACGAGAGACCCTGGGGATCAACCCTATATCGCACGTTTTTCAGCTTATCATGGCATCCGCGTCACGACAACAACCCGGGCTCGTAAGTTTATACATACCTTCCAGGCTGCTTACACCCTGTGGCCTTCCGATCTGACTTGATTAGGCGTGTGAGGAATGCCGCAAGAGAAAGCTACGATGCGATAGACAGCAGCCTCGATGCGATCAATGTGAAGACTCTGGAGCTATTTGTTACGTGAATCAGGATCGGTCTCCAAGAGGTCCTAAGAGAGGGCATTTAAAAGCTTTACGGAGTCGTATTGGTTTGTAAACAGAATTCACCTTCTATACACCCAAGTACCTAATAGCTGTTCCAGCCACACTTGAAAGCCTTGTCAACCGCGACCAGGTCAGCCTTGACACCAATGCACAACACACATCCAAGAGTGAAGTGGGTCAGTTTCCTACTCCGCCAGAGAGCTCTGTCGATAGCACGAAGAGAGAGTGCCGTATTGTTTCCCGTTCTGTGGATGAATCACCCTCAAACATGTCCTTCGCGCCCACTACAGCCCCAGAAATTGAGATATCTGATATAATCGAGGCAGATCTGTACGCATAATCTCTGCATAAGATGGTTTATTACTATTTATTACTAACTAATTATACAGAGACCAGCTCTACTTTGATAGAGTGCATCCTGTCGCCCCCATGCTACATCAAGGTCGCTATCTGACCTGGTCCCAACATTGCTACAAAGCAGAACCCTATTCCGGCTTGCAGGCTGCGATGTGGGCACTAGCCGCAGCCGCATCTGCACATCTGCAGCATATGCGGGAGTCACTCTACCTTTGTGCACGCTCCAAGCTCGAAGCGCTTGATAATCAAATCGACTGTGCAAGCGCTGCTTCTTTGCAGTCTGCACAAGGCTGGCTTCTACTGACCCACTATGAGTTCCGGTACATGGACTACAGTCGAGCATGGATTACTGCCGGACGAGCTTTTCGTATCATCCAACTGATGAAGTTGCATGAGATTGACCGCTTCCACACAACGGCCCTCGATCTAGCATTTACTGAGGCTTGGGCCGAGATAGAGGAGAAAAGACGAACTTTCTGGCTGGCATATTGTCTAGATCGATTTCTCAATATCTCAGACCAATGGCCTTTGACTCTACATGAGGAGCCTGTAAGAAAGTCTCACTCATTTCAGTTCCCTCAAACACTGCTGATTCCATTCCATTACTAGCTTTGGATATTTCTTCCAGCTCCAGAATCTGATTTCCAACATAGTAGACCAGTCCTCATGGTATCCATGCCAGATGCCATCGAAACATCCGGACAGAAGACGCTGCCACCTTTCGCCGAAGCAACTGTCTTGACAACACTGTGCTGGCACAGTATTAGCCTAAAGCAAACCCGACTTGCGAACAAAATACCCGGGCTTGATACTGGTATTGACTTCTGGGAACACCATAGCCGACTCTACCATATAGCCCAGCAGCGGCTGATGCTACTTTCTCTACCACCATGCTCGCCAGAACTGTTAGATCCCATGCGCCTATTCACAAACATGCTAGCAAATTCAGCTATCATCTGGTTCTATGGCATGATGGAAGTCCTAAAAGGAACATCGAATGATCAAACCATCCTCGTACCTCTTTACTCAGCGTACGAAATAGCAAGCCTTGCAAAACCACTTATTCGATCTAGTTTCTTCACAGTGAGTAACTTATTCCTTCTCGTTCTTATTTCCGGGACTTTGGTAGCTTGTCTCACATCTCACGTGCGCATCTAGGCACATGCATTCTCCCCTATGTTACTCTTTCTCTCCGCGAAGTTTCTCCGAACACATGGAGATCAACTGCGTAGAAGTGGCACGGTGTCGGAGGATAAATATGGTAGGCTGGACGAGCTCAAAAGGGCTTTACTGGTCTTACAAAATGGGAATAATTTGGCAATGAATTATTTGGATCTCCTTGAGTTGGATTGTTTCGATGAGTTGAGTGTTCTCTCAGGTGGCACAGAGCAGCAAGAGACACCATGCGTCTTGGATATAATGAATCTTTTTGAGGCAATTTAATTGTAGTCGAAGTTTTAAAATTGGGGGTTTTTTTGGTTGTCCTGTCATGTATTTTCCCAGGTAATCACTTCAATACGAAACTAACAGTAAATGTTTTAACACCATTGGACAGACCGTTTTTTATACCGTTTTTTATACCGTTTTTTAGACCACTTTTTAGACCCCCTATCGCAAACCGAAGAGCAAGTCTATACCATCTTACTTTCTAAATATTTTTGCTTCAGTGAGTGCTTTTTATAGAAGACAAGCTTCAACCTAATCCACAACAGTTAAGTGTTCTATCAGGAAACAAGTCTAGGGGTGTTGAGATCTAATTTTTAACCGGCAGAGTCTGGGTTATCAAAGAGGTGTCAAAACTATTGCTGCGTCACTGTACCCATTTCTTTTTCTCTAAGAAGACTAAGAGCCACCATCCAGTATATTCGCCATAGACTCAGCGGTCCATTGAAGACTTCATTCTTCTTACGTCAGATGGATTGGAAAAAAGGATTAGAATAATTGAATTACTGAGTCCTTGGTCAGTGAAAAGATGATACATGTTCGCATGGGAAGCAGATTTCTCCATCTCCCAGATATCCCGATCACCGAATAATTCCAGTTAGTCATGAATCTTGCCCTTCACATCCTCCTTGGCTCTAATAGCCTGTTGTGTGCGAATACATCACTGCTCAAAGCGAAACAACAACCTTCTGCGCCGACACGCCCTTCATGTGAACGTCAAGCGCAGCCTGAATCTGCTCAAGTCCCTTTCCGATGATAACAGGCTTAGGAACGACGCGATACTCCCCATTTTCCAGAGCGTTGGGTAGGAACCTGTTATAAATCATAGCACCCACGTCGTTCTGGACCAGGGAGCTACCGAAAACGAACTTCGTCACAACACCTCGTCGCACGGACTTGAAATAAACGGTAATATTCCACCACATCAAACCCATCATGAAGAGGAAAAGTTGCCAGGCAGTCGCGGGAGCCTTCTCGGGAAATGGGAAGCTGATTTGGGCGACGAATTTGGAACCGTCTGTCTTTGCGAGGATGTCCATGCAGGCCTCAGTGGAGTTGTTACCGATTGCGATCGCGCCGACGGGCTTCTTGGTGCGGAGAACATGGATGATGTCTTCGACGGTCGACTTACTGTTATAGTCAAACACATTGGTAGCACCGAGTCCCTTCACATACTCAAAGTTCTTGGGAGAGGCTGTGGTGATCACATCGTATCCTGCAGCAGTGGCCAGCTGGATGGCGTTGCTTCCGACACTGGTCGATCCACCCCAGATAATAACAGTCTTGACAGTTGACTTCGCGGCTTTGCTTGTGGTGGTAGGATAGTCAAGAGCCAGGAAGTCAGTTTGGAAGAGTGCAGTTGCAGCGGTTGACAGGCCGAGAGGGAGGACGCAAGCCTCTTCGTAGGAAAGAGAGTCAGGAATTGGCGAGGTCAGGTTGGCGTGTACGACAGTGTACTCTTGGAAGGCACCTTCGGATGACTTGTTGATGGTGGGGTCCATCGATATCGCGTGGGCAAGGACGCGATCTCCTAGCTTGAACCCGCTGACCTCTTCGCCAATCTCAACCACTTGACCAGCGAGATCATTTCCCATCACGAAGGGGCATCTGATCCACTCAAAGATGTAATTGCCCATGACCTGCTTGGACCACTCCATGGCGTTTACAGCAATGGCGGCGTTCTTCACGACGAGCTCGTTGGCTGCGGGAGAGGTGTATGGCGCAGACTGGACCTCGAGAGGTCGTTTCGATCTGGCAGACAGCCATGCGGCTTGGTTATGGGGACTTTCCATGATGATATTCCCAGATGAGGGGTGCTGCTGATCCGTAGAGCCAAGCCTGGTTGGGAAGATGGGAGAAGGCAGAACTTGGAACGGTGAAACTGGGGGCTCTCACCACAACACGGCAATCGGATGCGATAACGATAACATACGTGCTAGTAGGTCCAGCTCGTGACGTCCGTCCAATCTAGATTATAGGATAGTCTGATGCGCTCAACTTGTGAGTCTTTGCTTTCGGTTTGCCCTGACCCATCAAGTCCAAGGTCTTCTTGAAACAGTGCTAGTTATATCAACGGGTCAAAAGGTATATTCAGTAGCGTAGGAGGAATGACAAGGCTAGGTACTATTACTTGTTGGGCTTTTGCCTTCGAATACAGGACTAATAGGTTTTCCAGGCTGAAGGAAGAATATAGCAGCTCGTCCTTGAGGGGATGCACATGGCTCACTTCGCATGATATACAATTTGGGACCCTAGATCGAACTTTTAGGTGTCCTCTCTATGTCTTTGTCAAATTTAAGAATCCAAGCGAAGGTGTATACATGCACTCATACCTTGTCTTCCCTTTTCGGACCGTCGGCCGAATGCTGAGTCATCTGCATGACTCGAGGGCCATTTATCATCTAGCCGCCAAGACCTTCCCAAAAAGGTAGACAGCTTAACAATCTAATGCATATGACTAGGTATTGAAGATGGGAAGGACCAGTATTTATAGTTTGACCTTTTGCCCCGAGTATTGTCACTCTCAGTATCTTCATCCTCTTTCCTTTCTGATCCTCTTTGTATCACCGACATCTCCGATCTATAAAGCCCGACTATTTTCACCATGGTCAAATTCCTCCAGCCAAGGGTCACACCACTGCCAACAGGTATTGACCTAACAGGCAAGATAGCCGTTGTCACGGGAGCCAGCTCGGGACTGGGTCTCGAATTATCCCGACAGCTACTGCAAATGCGAGCGTCGACCGTCATTCTGGCCGTCCGCAACGTCGCCAAGGGTGAAGCATGCGCCAAGGACCTCCTTCAGGACCATGAAGTCCAGAAGCTTAACCCCAAGCCTAGCGTCAAAGTGATGGAGCTAGACATGGACCGGTATGACAACGTGCAGCAGTTCGCCAAACAACTCCGCGATGAAATCCCGGTGGTCGACCTCCTCATCCTAAACGCCGGGATCAGTCCTGTAACACTCGAGCGGAGCCCTAACGGCCATGCTCGAGCAGTGCAGGTTAACTATCTTTCCAACGTACTGTTGATAGCAGAGCTGTTGCCATATCTCCAAGCGGGTGCTGAAAAGACCGGCTCGCCAGCGCGTATCAGCTGGGTTGGAAGTCGGATGCACGAGAGTCCGAGTCTCGAGAAGAATTTGCCTATAAAGGCTGATGAGGGGGTATTGGAACATTTAGATAAAGAGGAGACTTTTGTTCCGTTCCAGCATTATGGGGATTCGAAGCTGTTGTGTGCGCTGTTTATGTATAGCCTGACACCGAAGCTAGATCCGAAGAAGGTTGTCATCAATATGGTGTGTCCTGGTATGGTGGATACAGCTTTGAGTGATGGGCTCCCGCTGCATTTCCGCTTAGTGGTGAATGCTATTAAGGCGATTCGGGCCCGTGCTGTGGATGTGGGTGCCTGGTTGATATTGAATGCGGTGTTGGTTGAGGGCCCGGAATCCCATGGCAGGTTTTTGGGCGATAAGATCATCATGGAGTAAGTCTACCCCCTTCCCTGCGTTTCTGAAAGCAAAGGCTAATATGCTTTCCCCTTTTATTAGAAAAACTGCATTTATCAAGTCGCCGGCGGGTGAGCAGGTAAAGAGCAAACTTTGGGCAGAGACGATTGCAGAGATGAAAACGCTTGTGGATCTCCCTGTGGAGTACGAATAAGCTTGAATAAGCTTGATGGCTCGGTCCAGCCATTGATATGTAATTCATTCCCCCAAGAAATGCAAAATCACATGGTCAATCTGCTCTCCGGGCAATTCCGTATTCAGTCACGTTTGGCTTGTGATACCAGGCCACGAGTCACTGAGCATAGTGCGGTGGGGAGATTCCACGCCCCAATCTTTAGAATATCTGGGATAGCGAAAATGCCGCCCATGACTCAAAGTCAGACTGTGCCATATTGGAAATAGACTCTAAGTCCAATCCACCGTCATTATCCGTTAGGGTGGTATATGTCGATGCAGAAATGGTACTATCAAGGGCAGTTTGAGTCCGTGGGGTAGATGCCAGAGAGAGTTCCAGGCCAATATGGAGGTCGATGAGAGCTTGCATAGCGAGTGGCATCCTGTCTTTCAATTGGCCTTGGCCAGCGCTATCATCATCGGCCGTCTGGTTTTCAGGCGAAGAACCCCGGGCCTGGTATTGTGAGATAATGAGACAGATGTAATCATCAAGGCACGATCGGGCGTTCGGTACTTCGCTTAATATGTGGGATTGTTGGATATATGTCAATGTAAGAAGTGCGCATTGCAGGGGCCCGTACTGGCTATGCCAGTACCATATGTAGGGCGAAAGCGCAGGGGTATCGTGGAGCCATATAAAAACACGCAAATAAGCCACGCAGAGGTGCACAACTCTGAAAGGTTGGTAAGTGATCTTGTGATGTAAAGGACAACAAGGTTGATAAAGCAATCCATACCTGGTCCATAGCTTTTTGGAGTCTGAGTCTTTCTCTATTGGGGAAACCAATACCGGCTTGTGTAGTGTGATAGCTGTTTCGAGCTGCATTAATGTCAGCATGGCATGCGTCCACCTTCTAAAATCGGTGGACTGGCTGGTTGACTCCGCTACTGTATGTGTGGATATATGACCGATGAGAGTGTCAATTGTCTGCTCAACCCGTTTCGCGTCCGTGGCAAGCTCTGAAAGCTTCTTCGTAGTCATTTCTCGTGAGTTCTGTAGGTGAGAAATGATATTCCATTGCAGGCGAGTGCTTTCGGATCGCCCGATGGCGAACAATAGTGTTAGGTCCAAGACTTCGGAATTGATGACAGCTCCGCCATTGTCACCATAAGCAACCACGCTTACTCCGTCTAGTACATCTCCTCCACAGCAGGGCGGAAGGCCGGTAGATACGCTCGTCTGCAGATCGAGCCAGACTATATGCCACCAAATCCGGCGCCTTGTTTCTTGATCTTTATGATTGAGAGCCGACCATGTTGCTTCACGGTGGAGTCCCATACTCTGGGCTATTCGCACTGTAGTGCTGATGGAGACCAAACTTTGCATCGATTCAGGGGGTGGGTCAATGAATGGGCCTGTTAACAACGTCGAGACGAGGGTGTTTATTGTCGGATACTCCAGATGACAAGACTGGGAAAGACTGGCTGTATAGGCGGTCTTAAGCTGCTTCAAAATCGTATCTTTACACTCATCCTGAAGCAGATCGCTTGCCCAGTGAGCCTCCGGCGCGGCTGATGCGCCGCAGTACAGTATTGCAAATAGTAAACAGAAAAACGTTGGGTCGTCAATGAACTTCTGCGATGGCAATGACTCGTCATTATTTCCACACCAGGCCCAGAAGTCATCGTAATCTGTCTGCAGTGAGGACCGGTCCACGAGAGGGCAAATGGGCCACACTGCGATGAAGAATACCTCAAGCAGGGCGTTGCTAACGGGTTTTGTGGGCAGAGACTTCAGGAGGCTAAACATCTTTGCAGCAGAAGCATATGAGGCCATATCGTGGGCAACATGATGGCACTTGAAAAAGTCATCGCTTTGGGTTTCCTATAACAGGCGCAATCACGGTCAGCTACTCTTACAGATCAGGTGCCAGACGAGCTTTGGAGCCTTTACCTTTCCAGCAATAGAACCCCAAAATGCTCGACCAATGAACCTTGAATGACCGTTTCGCTGCAAATTCAGGTAGTCATTGCAGATTGGAACTGGCCTATGCGCAGAGGATGACTCCGATGTAGCAGAGGGGTTCAAGGTAGCATCCGGCACATTGTTTGTGCCTGTAGAAGGCTCATCGTTATAAATTAGATCTGCGACTCGATTTGTGGAACAGGCCAGCCGGGGATCAAGGGGTGAAGCAGTTGGGTACTTCGCTTCCGAGCCTGGTGTACCCAGTATCCCTGGAGCTTGAGTGCCAGGCCATACTCCCGTGTCCGGCTCAGCAGCATGATTGGAGGGTCGGCTCTCAGAATGATTGCTTTCATTATTCAAGAATACATGTCGCACCCGGCCAGTAAGCTCGTCACGAACTCCTGTGTTGTACACACAGGTCTCGTTCATTCGCGTGCAGTTGACACATTGTGGATGTTCGCGACCGCAGCGAACCTTGCGACGACGACAGACAACACAGCTGAGGGCCAATCTAGGTCTTTTGATAGGTTGCTGAATCATCGGGAGATATTCAAACTTGGTGAGTTTGTACAATGGAACAAAGGCACAAAGAGAGGGCTGAGGAGCTAAGCCGAACTGGGAAGCTAGTCTTGGCTTCCCACTACCTGTCACCACCTCCTCCCACGGCATCTGTCTAGTCCTCTATATAAGATGCCTCTGCATTTGCATGAAAGTTTAGGGAACCCTATAGAAAGTTTGAACCTATTATGTACAAAGTCCTCCTCGTACCTTAGAGTGGTCCAGAGCTCCATATTCCAACCTTGGTGGGTGGACGACCCTTGGCATGCGATCTCATCCAGCAAGTCTTCTCGGTTTTCTCGATGGCCCAGGTCAATTTCACACGATGTCAGGGCTGCGTACAGAGAGCAAACTATTTTTTTATGTTGTCAGGGATAATTTCAAGAATCCCAATGTCAAATAGTCAAGCCTGAGTGCCAAAAATGGCCTCTGGCACTCACCTCTCTTGCCCCCGCCTTGTCTATACACCATTCAAGAAAGGAATCATATCTTTGATCCAGATCCTGTTCAAAGTGGCTCCAGTTACGCCTAATGAAGCTTTTGAGCTAGGCGAAGAACTCTTCAATTGGGTTGAGGTCTGGCGAATAAGGAGGTAGATAAATTAACTTGACTCCAGCATTGGCACACATTTGCACTATACGTCCAGAGTGGTGGAACGACGCATTTCCCATAACCAAGACAGATTTTGGCTTAGGACATCGTCCGCAGTGCCGAAGAAGCTGGTCGATGACGAACATACAGTGACACAGCAAATGTTTTAACACTATTGGACAGACCGTTTTTTAGACCGCTTTTTAGACCCCCTATCGCAAACCGAAGAGTAAGTCTATATCATCTTACTTTCTAAACGTTTTTTGCTTTAGTGAGTGCTTTTTATAGAAGACAAGATTCAACCTAATCCACAACAGTTAAGTGTTTTATTAGGAAACCAGTCTAGGGGTGTTAAAAAATCGAATTTTTAACAGGCAGAATCTAAGTAATCAAAGGGGTGTCAAAACTATTGCTGCGTCACTATAGTAGCATCCGTTGAACCGCGAAAAACGCGGGAAAATACAATACAGTGTGTCCTGAACCTGGTGCCACCACTTTTATTCTTTGACTGTTTCTCAAGTCTCAAGTACTAATCTCCGCTAGTCCATATTCGGAATTTCTCCCTGTATCCTCGACATTGGGGCCTGTATTGTTTTTTACACACAGTACCTACTGCTATGGTGGGGTTGTATTCGCTTGTACTTTAACTATTACGTTGTGAATGATTCCTGAAGATACAGGGTGGTGATGAAATACCCGCCAACACTCTCAGAACTTCTCAAGTTAATTGACCTGTCTAAGTAGGCATCAGACGGAGATTTCTCTTTAGCTCTCCTCCTATCGCGACATTCCTCAGCACCCCATCAATCCCTAGGCCTTACAATTGCAACAGCCCCAGCCCCCCAAACGCCACCACCGCTGCCCCTCCACACAGTCCCCAAACCCCCTTATCCCATCCTCTCGGCCCCTGTATCGTAACCCATGTATCCACTACACATACAGCAGTCCACGCCGTCAATATAACTCCCATCTCCTTCACCTTTCCTTTGCCATAAAGCCAAAACAGCGCGCCTGCCACGGCTATGTCACGTATTCCAAGGAATATCATTGCTTTCTCGGTTATGTCGCGGCCTTCTGGCGTGGTAGGGATGACCCCGAGAGACCCTGCAGCAACGGACGGAGATAGAACGGCCAAGGCTCCGAGAGAAAAAACAGTCGTTGTAAGGCCAAGGCCGATAAAGCGCCATGTTGAATGAGTGAAGAGGCAATTGGGGAAAGCCATTGTGCATCGGCTGCGAGAAATTGAAGAGTTGATTTTTGTTTAGTAGGATAGGATGACAGAGCTTTTCTTTTGGATAACAAAGCCACGCAAGTGGCAAATCCTGAACTTCATATAACCCAACACCTGCTTCCGGCCAGCTATGTCACCGCGGAGAGTTTAGAAATGCTCTGGCTCTATCCAAGGGAGGCCCTTCGGCTGATGAAAAATCAAAATCATCTGCAGTGATGCAAACTTGCCAGGAGTTTCATAAATACTATGCTGACACGTTTACCGTGGACCAAAGCCTGTACGTAAGTTCGCACTAGGTGGGGCATCTGTTTACCAGTCAACCCCATCTGCTCAAATATCGCTCGGTATGATCAGTAAACATAATATCAGATCTCAAATCAGGTCTCAAATCAGGTCTCAAATCAGGTCTCAAATCAGGTCTTTGTTATGAACAGCAGAAATGGTCTCCACCCACACTCTTACAAATTATTTTGGGCCTGATCATGGAGCTACTCTCACAGTACAGGCCCATTGTCGGCGAATAGAGCTGCTATGCCGCACCTGGTACTGATAGTTCAGGGGAGATGATGACCCAACCTAATCTTATCAGTATGAAGGGTACAGGATAACCTGACAGACAAGGTAATACATTAGGTACGTCGACTCAAGGGCGCTATCCTAGGAAAGACCGACAGTCCCCCTTTTGGCAGCCACTAGCCTCTCGGAGCTTAGAGATGATCCAACCTTCCGGGGTGATTTCTAATCATCGTTGTGGGTAAGTAGAGATAGGCTTGGTCAAATTGATGACCTAGGATATGGATATAATGAGCGCAAAGTATTGCGAATGTGAGAGTACGATCCTGCCTGCTTCTACCACTTCATCCAAATACCCTAAAACGTTTGTCATTACTTCGAGTTACATTAATCACGCTCAGTGGAGCATTCATCTATCCGCAATGGCCCTGTTCAAGACTGTTCTGCTTATCGGAGTACGTCTCATTTTTCCAGCACCGCGCTTGGCTTCCATTCCTCCTACCAATAATAAAAGGTTACTGTCCGCATCTAGCCTACTAACACATTCTATAGGCAGGTGGAAACCTAGGTGTCCCTGTCCTTGAAGCATTCTTAGCCTCTCCATACAAAGTCAGCGTTTTGACCCGCAAAGAGTCGACATCAACATTCCCTGAAGGCGTGCCTGTCTTCAAAGCCGACTATACCGATGTATCCTCGATCAAGCTTGCAATGGAAGGTCAGGATATGGTAATTAGCATGGTCGGCGGCATCGCCGCAGGAGACCAACAGGTATTCATCGATGCCGCCCTCGCCGCCGGTGTGAAAAGATTCTTGCCTAGCGAGTTCGGTCCCTATTCGCGGAACCCCGAATTTGCCGCACTGAACCCTGTCGTTTTACCAGCCAAGGCGGGTACTGTCGACTATCTCCGATCAAAACAGCCATTGATTTCTTGGTCGAGTCTTGTTACCGGCGCATTCTTCGACTGGGCCATGAAAGTCGGATTCTTCGGCTTCGACCTCGCCTCAAAAACCGTGACTCTCATCGACGGCGGCACGTCGGTTTTCACTACTACAACCTTGTCGACAATCGGGAAGGCCCTTGTTGCCATACTCGAACACCGGGGCGAGACGAAGAACCAATACATCTTTGTATCATCCTTCAATGTCAGCCAGAAAGACATTCTAGATGTGGTTGAGAAGGTCGATGGCCAGAAATGGACGGTAAAGCATGTTACGTCCGAGGAGGTCATCAATAATGGCAAGAGAAGGCTTGCGGCGGGTGATTTCGCCGGAATCATAGACTTGACTAGGGGTGGGGCATTTGGCAAACAGGCACTGGGAGATGAGAGTTCACATGGGTTCTGGAACGACAAGTTAGGGCTCCCAAAAGAGGATATAGAACAGACTATTAGAGATCTGCTCTAGGAGGCAATGTGAGTAATAGGTGTATCTCTTGCAATTATTCGATTTGATATGTACAAAAGGCATGTAGCTCCAATATGGTATTGATAAGTCAGTAATGGTGGAGGGATCTCAAGTGAATAGACACTTTCTGATCTTTCGACTGGGTCTAAGTGAAGGTCAACAGAAACTGAATTTAAGAGTGATGTTTAGTTGATTTTCTTGCCAAGACGAAACAGGTGAGCCCACGTTAGTAGACGTTTCTCCACTACTTGCCAATCAACACAAGAAATCGTTTGTGCCATACCATGCCCTGAAACGAATGTAGCGAGAGAAAGGGGTTATAGTAAACACGGCAGCGCGGGCGTCCGCAAAAAAGGCTTACATTTCTATATTGGAGTTCTTTTGCCACGCACGCTTTTCATTTGACATGATCTTACTGTTTTCGTGATGGCGTGGTTTTATACACCGTCTCGGTAGCTTCTACTGCATATTAAAGATATATAAACACGGTTTTATTCGCTTATTTTCGGGCTATGCGCCACTTTCTTATTCCTACGTCTTATTCGCGTACGCTCTTCCCAGTTATTGCTCCTCTCAGCGTTCGCTTTCGCACTGTCTTACCGTTTCCAGATACGTCTTTTGATTTGCCGGGATATGTTTTGCTTGGATACGAGGCTATAGCAAAACACACGCTGCCCACGATCTGGTGACTAATCTGTCCTGTTCGCCATGTCTTGGCAATCTGGAGTTAGGCTAGAGCACAGCACACCGCCTTGGGACAGATTGGGACTGTCAATTGAGGGAATGAAGATGACGTGATAGTGAATATATCTCCGGCTAGGCTTCGGTTTAATCTCCGTTCATAACAGCGGCCTAAAATAAATTTGTTTCCTTGGCTCTCTAAGATTTGAACCAGATCACAATGTCGCAGTCAAATTCACCGCAGCTCGGTATGGGTGGCCGTTTGCTCAATACCTTCATCAATCGGTAAGTAGCAGTCTCCACTGTGAAATTGCGCTGGCGTGTCTAAAATCAACCAAATACATTTTTGAGACGAGTGCAAGTCTAATTCGATAGACCTGTTGAGGATCATGGCTCGGGATGGTCTGACCTTTGGGACTCGGGAGAAAGCGATCTGTGGGATCGCGGGAAAGCTTCTCCGGCCTTAGTAGACATCATCGAACAGGAGATGGACCTGCTCAACCCTTTCACCCCGGATGGCGAAAGAAAGAAGGCGCTGGTGCCAGTAAGAGAAATAATTTCATCGTCGTTACATATTCTCTCCAGACTATGTATCCGCTGACAACTGAGACATCAGGGGTGTGGCCGAGGATATGATGTAGTGATGCTGGCACTGCACGGGTTTGACGCATATGGTCTCGAAATATCCGAAACGGCTGTCAAAGAAGCAGAGACTTATGCAGCTGCCGAACTGGAGAATCCATCGGCATACCACTTTGGTGGCAACAAAAATCGTCCTGACTCGGCTGGTTCTGTGACCTTCTTTCAAGGGGACTTCTTTTCCTCAAAATGGGAGTTCAAAGGGGGCATTGAGGAGACAACTCGATTTGATGTAGCGTACGATTATACCGTAAGTCGCTTCATGTTTATTATGTGACGATATTGGACTGATTGATAGCACATGTTAGTTTCTCTGTGCTCTCCATCCAGACCAACGAAGGCACTGGGCCACGAGCATGGCTCGAATTTTGAAACCTGGTGGTCTTCTCATCTGTCTAGAATTTCCGTTGTACAAAGATCCGCGACTCCCGGGTCCACCTTGGGGACTGAACGGAGTTCATTGGGACTTGCTATCACAAGGAGGTGATGGTGTAATATTGAATGAAGTGGGAGATGAAGGCAAAGAAAAGAACGTGACTGGGTCTAGGAAGGGAAATTTCCGCAGAGAATTATATGTTAAGCCGGCTCGGTCTTATGATATCGCGAAAGGGACAGATATGATCAGTGTGTATTCCCGGAAATAGAGGAAGTTTTTAGTCAAGTGGTAAATGCCAACCCGAAAGAGATACGTGCCCTGAAACGAACGTAGTGAGAGAAAGTCCCGTTTATAGTAAACACGGCAGCGCGTGCGTCCACAAAATAGTTTATACTTTTCTATGCTGGAAGTCTTTTGCCAAAAGCGCTTTTCATTCGACATGATCTTACTGCTTTCGTGATTGAGTAGTTTTATACGACGTTCTCGGTAGCTTCTGCTGCGTAGTGTAAATGAACGTGATTTGATTCGCTTACTTTCGCCCTAGGCTCCACTTATGCTTTGATTTGCCTGGGTATGTTTTGCTTCTATACGAGCTGCTTCTGTCACCCTACTTTTCCTACGCCTCTGGTTTTCGCTCGCTACGTCTGAACCTTGGGTCTATAACATCTCTCTTATAAATCGTTTTGGGTACAATATGCTTCGACCTAGGGCTTGTCAAGATTGCAAACGTCCGATAGGCATGTCACCAAATTTTCGACCAGCTCGCTGCTCTGCTTGTCGATTAGCACGCTTACCGCCAACTATCGAGACTCGCGTGTGTACAGAATGCGGCGTGCCCATTCGCTCCAACACAAACTATATGCGCTGCGAAGTGTGCCGCCAAGCTTCAAATCCTGGAAACAGTTATAGTCAACCGTCACCTGAAATGCGTCCCTATTCGCAATGTGGCAGCGATTTCCCTGCCTGTAGCAGCGTGCGACGTTGCTTCCCCTGCAGGGTCTACAACGAGCAAAGTTGTGCAACCGGCCACAGAATTTTTCGACTCTTACTGTAATAGAGGCACATATCTCGTAGCTCTTTATGAAATTATTTAAGACCTAGGAAGTGTCAGTGGCCTTTCCGTGTTTCCGAGTTGTGTACGCAAGACGAATTCTTCCCGGAGTGTCATGGTTCTCGCTCTATGCAGCCTGCTTCTGGTACATGCGGTAGGCGCATTGTCCGTAGAACACACCCAGGTCCTTACTCAAAGACATCCACATCAATATGCTAACGACGCCAAGTACTCAATTGACCGCCATGATTTCAACCCTATCTGCTCCTAATACATCGTTAGCGAAGGGGATTCGTGTACCAGCATTGCCGCAAAATGCGATATCACTACTGACCTGCTCACTTTATAATAAGGGTGTGGACTGCGCTAAAAACTGTCGGAAAGCCGATGTGCTGTTCAACAGGAGGGACTCCAGTCCCACTGAGAGATCTTGAAGGTGTCTGCTACAAATAAACCATTCGGGGTGAAGATACCTGCGAGCGAATTGCGAAGGCATACGGCATCACGATTACCAATATTGAGGCCTGGAAAAAGGAGACATGGGCCTGGTATGGGCGTGGTGATCTTCAGATTGGGGGCAATATCTGTCTCACTGAGAAAGGTGTCCGTCCTATGCCGGTATCCATTCCTGGTGCTGTTTGTGGTCCTCAAGTACCTGGGACTGCGCGTCCTACCGGTGGAAGAATCTCCCCTCGTTGAATCCCTGTCCCTCTAGTCAATGTGTGAGTCTTATTAACTCTTGGTCGTGCGACTCAAACTGACAGTGATGATAGTGTAATAGAAAAGGCCAATGTGGCACCGGCGCGGACTTTTGTGGCTCGACTACATCTAAAGCTAGTGCAACCACCGTTATCAAAAAGCAGGCTCATGTTGAGCCTGCGGGCAAGACGATAACCTCATATACCACTGTGAGATACACCGCAACAATAAGTTTAAACTCCGCGACCAGCGCTAATTCAGCCAAGTCTGCGAGTACTACCATAACGACTAGTTCCAGTTTAATAAAATCTGCAAGCCCCATCCTGACTACCCGTGCAGGCACTACCTCAACCGGCATCGAAACAGTACCATCAGGGTGGATGCTGCTGATGTATATGGAGAAGGGGTGCGAAGGAGATTATGTGACCCTCCAAGGCCACAATAAGGAACTACGCAATTCTAAGTGTCTTGTGCTCCATGGCGGTCTCAGTACCAATATCACAGACGAAGATGTTTTCATGTCGATACTGGGTTGACGGTTGTCTGAACTGGAAAAGCTGCGACGATAGTCCGAAAACACGGCCTGCATCGTGGAAGATGATCAATGGTCTCTGCACGGTAGTTGATAACGACAAATGTGACAACTACAATTCCATCGGCCAGACATATGGCTGGCGGGGGAAAGGAGGACCTTGTCAGAATGGTGGTAGAAGAGGCGATCCTAAGACGTTCAACTCGATGCAGTGTTATGTCGGGTAGGAAAGTAATTGTGGAAAGGCATTCATTTCATTTAACATCAAATTGCCAAATATATCATTCAAATCATATCAATTTTGTCTCATAAAAGCCAAAGAAATAGGCAGCAGAGTGGCGATACGAGGTTTTCCGCTTAAGCCTCATTTCAGCCCCCAAAGTGTCTACCGTCGAAGTGCGGCCTTCACATAAAATCCAAGTTTCCCCTGATTCCTCCGTTTTGTTTACTTTTTTCCCCTTTTAAACATAATGGGTCGCCTCAACCAGGAAGTTCCCGCGTCCTCGTCGCACTCACTCCATTCCTTGGATGACGCGCCACCACCCTACACCGACGATCTCGAGTCCCTCCCCATTCCGCCCGATCCGCCTGTCCAGTCTCGCATTGAACCCCTCCGTCTGATCGACTCTGCCTACGTTCTTCCCGGTGGAACAGACATCAGACCATACGACACCGTCGCTCTCACCCTCGCGCCGAATCTCTCGACCAACAGCGATGAGCTCTACAATGCCATCCGTAAGCAGATCATGCTGCCACTGCGCCCTCTCCTCTACGTGAAAGGCTATCACACCGAATCAAGCAACAGTGGGAAAAAAGACAAGAACAGCAGCACTGTGACCGACTTCGAGTTCAGGCTGGATCTCGCCGAGACCATGCTGACCGGCTGGGAGGGCGGCGCGCCTATGCTTGTAAACTGGATGGAGGTCGAGATCCTCACAGATGAAGATTTGAAGCCGGCCTACCGTGGTGGAATCCTGCGTTCGCGAACATACAAGCCCCCCAAGTCGCGCCAGGCAATCGCCCTTACTGATGACAGCGATGCCCTCCTCGGCGAAGACGCCGACGCCGACGGACAGTTGAACAGGCCTCAAAGCGCCCTAAAACTATGGTGCGAGCGGTTCTGCCAGGACCCGGCGCCCGTGAAATCGTACTGTTCCCTCCCATTCCTTCACAAAGACTCTCTAGCTAACCAGACTGATTGACTACAGATTCACACTGCACCGTCAACTCGGAGGCTTCGACTCGAACGCAATGCGCAACGTCCTCTCTTCGCACATCCGCGAACTAAACTACCGCGGCTCCCTCAGCTTCTCCTTCTCAACCGCCCACCGCTCCGTAACAATATACTCCCCACACTGGATCAACCGACTGCGCACGAACCGCTATGTCTGGTGGATCGTAGTCATCCTCCAGCTCTGGATAATCACATGGCCAATCATCTTCTTCATGGAGAAGCGGTACGAGATCGCCCATACAAAGTGGAACGCTTCGCTCATGCCCGAGACCGATTCTGCTTTGGTCAAGTGCTACGCTCAGGGTCGCAATGAGTCTGCTCTGGCTGAGTACTGGGCTCCGGCTGTTAAGCAGGCTGCTTGGACTCGCCGGCGTGGTGAGGGTAGTGTTCTTACGAGGATGGATGTCGAGCGTGTGCAGGGATATTCTCTGCAGCAGTTGCTTGGTATGCGTGCTACTGCTTCTGATTCTGAGCGGGAGCGTAGGGAGCGTGTTAATAATGGTGCTGGTGGATTCGTTGATAATGTTGTTGGGTTGGTCCGCGGCGTCAGTGAAGCTGGGCAGGATTGGAGGATGTCAATGGGATGGGGTGCTAACTGTTAGGTTTGCCGTCTAGTTTGAGCTTACTCTATGGTCTAGGTGTTCTGGTCGACATTGGGCTTTTCTTTTTTTTTTTTGAGATAATAGAGGCATTCGACTGCAGCGGGACTGCAGACTGATTCTCTATAGCCCTGAATAAGACCTGGTGATTCATTCTTTTATAATTTCCTATATTAATGAATTGCACTTTCTATGTCTTTCTAGAGTAACGTCTTCTCGTGTAGGGCAGCACTGCTATGGATCTCGGAAGCTCGTCCAAGGGATATTTGGACAGTCTCCATGCGAAATCCACGTGTCTTGAAGTGAGTCCTGTATATGATTCTTCGCTTATCCTTTCCTCTTTTCTGCCTGTTTTCCAGTGTCTTCACTGGTAGTATTCGGTCCACGCTGTGCAGACTGAAGAATCTATATTTCCAGTTGATGAACTTGTCGTCATGCCATAATGTTAACTGTAACTACTAAGCTCCCTTGGTGTCAATTTAGGGTTTGTTTTCCGATTCTGATATTGGAGCTTGACTCACCACAGCATGTTGTACATCTCACGTTCCTTACTATCTTTCTCAAGTGACCAGTTACTTTTCAGCCCAACATGTCTACATCCTACGATCTTACATCCTACGGCCTCACCATATCGCCCACAATGTGCTTTGTGGACAACGAATTTATCCGGAGTACCAGATGTATCGTCTGGTCCATGGTATTATTATTCACGGTCCAAGTTGCCGTTCTACACGTTGCGGTTATCCTCATAGACAAAACTATCCAGCTAGTCACCCCAAGTTTCTTGAATCTGGTTGTCCATGTCTTCGGAAAACTAGAAACATACTGCGATTATCTGAACTGGAAATGGCTGGCCTGGCTTCTCAACATCTTGGCTAAGATCTCTACAACTGAAGAAGACAGACGCCAACAAAAGGAGTTGATCAAGGAAAAGGAGATAGTGATGTACGAGAATGAATTGCATCAAGAGCGATACGAGTATTTGATTGAAACACTCGGCTCCTTGGAAAAGCAAGCAGAAAATCAAACCCTCACAGCAGAGCAGATTCAAACCACATGCGATCTAGACGTCGAACTGTCTCTGCTTCCCTACGCGGCGGCTGATACAACTCATGAGTTCCAACAGCTGGAAATTCATCGTCGCGATGGGGCGTGGATACGTGCTGATAGGCGAACCAGTAGCCCTATTCTACGAACAGCTGGTCGATACAAGAGACTGGGTGGTTGTTGTACTTTTGACTGTGGCTGTTGTCATAAAGTACGGAGTGTCTCGTTCATTGGTGGGTCATTGTCGCACTGTACTAGTGAATGTGGCTGCTGTATTCTACAAGAGGGAAAGTGTACAGGGTCCAACATAGAGGAGAGAAGGGCTTTGTCTGATCCTGTCTATCACTGCATTTAGATCCTGATGGTTCGAAGCCAGTGTCGGGTCAATCTAGTTTTATCGCTTTTTGTCTGCCTTTTGCTTCGACAGCATTTTGGGGCTGGTATATATAGTGCTTTGTTGGACTTTTGAACATCCCTCCCTTTTGCTTCAATTTGCTTTGTTTACACAATTGCATTGCTATGCATCCTTGCTTTGGCTCTCTCCAAGTCATTCGAAGTTCTATTCCCATCTTCGTTCCTTTGTCTACTACAAATGTCATTGATATCCAACCTATTCAGCCTTTCTTTTTGAATCTGCTCTCTTTATTCTCTCTTACACTTCAAGTCATCTCTGGTATTTTTGTCCCATTGTTTGCTATAGTCCAACCATGGTTTCACCACCTAGATTCCCTTTATACACCCACATAGCGCTCCCTCGACGATATACTAGGGCTTTCTTTAGAAGGTATAAATCTGTTCGGGTTTCCGTTGGTTATTTCAATTTCAAGCACCGAACCACTTCCATATATACACCGAATCCCAGCACACATTAGCACAATCGCAGCCATGCGCCAATATATCCGACGAAAGAGTCTGCAGCTGCTTCCTTGTCTTGACTGTCGCCGTCGCCGTAGACAATCCAGACAACAACGTCGCAACAGCAATGAGAATCAAGGTGGTACCGGAGAGCAAAATATTGAACTTATTCCTCAACAGCCATTGCCTCAGCCTGAACCTGCTACTGACGAACCCGGCACAGATACCCCACAGCCCGTTCAAAATGAGCATAACCCTGCTGTTGACCCAGAGATGTTGCCCGAAGCCCCGGCTGCTACCGACCCCGAGTTAACTCCTGAAGCCTCCTCAGACGGTCAATCCGAAGTTTCATTCACTTCTAGCGCTAGACGTCGTCTAGAGCATTTTGTCCTTATTGAAACTCCTGCAGCCGCAGCAGATCCACAACCCAGATCCTCGACTCAACGCTTTACTAGAAGTCGTTCAAAGACACCCGCCGGAGATGCGGCATCTAGATCCCCTATTCGCAAACAGCGTGGACGCCGCAGTCCTCCTGTACGTAGGCCTCTATCTCCAAGGCGAAGATTTGGATTTGGTACCCCAACTGAACCCACAGTACCTATTCCAGGTCCCCCAACCGAACCATGGGCTAGTCAAAATCCTACAGGTCAATCAACAATCCCCGGCGGAGATGGAACATCCGGATTCCCTCTTCGTGAACAGCGTCACAATCCTCCTCCACGTAGGACTCAAGCTCGCACAGACCCAAGATATCAATTTGGATCTACTAACACTAGTAGACGCACCGCGGAGCTAGAAAGCCCAATTGAATCTACGGAACGTATTCTAGATTTCGCACCCGAATTTTATCCTGAGACTTCTGCTGCACACGACGCTACAAGTCAACCACCAAACCCCGAGGGAGATGGAACATCTGGATCTCCTCCACGTGGACCTCGCGGAAGAATTCATTTCCCAGAACTTCCTCACAGAGACCCTGCGGAGCGGTTACCACTCAGCGGAGATTCAACCAGTGAACATCCTCGTCGCACAAAGCGTGGACGCCGCGCCATATCACCAGTACCAGGACCAGAATCCCGGACAGAAAAGCCAGGCGAAGAAAGCCCTGAAGAGGATGAAGCCACGCGTACTGCCAGATTCCGCCGAAAGGGAACTAACTACCAAGACTGGATAGACCGAGCCAATGACGCCGACTGCCAAAGACCATGTCCCATCCAGCGGTCAACACTTACATGGAACGATATTGCGAGAAACCCTGATGAAGCTCGGCGATGGGATATAGGGAAGGAGAAAAAGGTAGGCCCCAACCAGGTGGCAATGAAGGACCAAGTCCGAGCACCCGGTCTAGCAACCGGACAATATGACTACCGCAAAACACAGATTTCACGTTTGGAGAATGCAGGGTATAACTTACATACGCACCGCATGGGTCCCGGCGTCATTTTCGCGGAGTTTTGTCAGAGGCCGGTAGGTAGTGTTAATCCTCATTGGTCTGAGATCGCTCTGGCTCAGTACCAGCATCACTATGATATTGATACTCTGAGGTATGTTTATGTTGTGGACTGCGAGATTACGGAGACGTTGGGACATATGCGGGACGTGCTTTTCCCTAGACTCGGTTATTCGAAGGATAGTCAGGAGGTTCTGACTTGGGAGTATAACACTGAGGGTTATAAGGAGATTATGGGTGTTGTTTGGGGCAAAGGCGTTGGTGCGCTTGTACTTGGGGCTTGGGACAGAGGGACACATCGTATTGCGAGGATTCTTACTTGGCAGTCTAGGGGGAATTGGCACATGAGGTTTGATATTGAGGTACTTCGGAATAGCCCTAGGTATGATCTTCGTTCCCTTCCCAGCAAGCCGTGAAGTGAATTGTTTTGATGCAACTTGTTCACGTTGGAGAATAAGCTAAGTTACCTTAGATACCTAGGGATTCGCCAGCTTCTATTGATCTTAAAATTTATGTGCATAAGTCAAATGGTAAGCGATACTTTGATAGACTTGAATATATTCTGATCAGACCATCATCCACATATGCAATCGTTTACAGCGATACAAATCCGAGCTAAGAGCAGTTTATGTCCCATTGAACACTAGGCGGAGATATGAAGGCCTGCTATACACCAAATAAAGCATCCCGCCTTCCCAAAATTTGCCAGGCACACGCGAGGGTTTACCTCACGGGCAAAAGAAATAACCAAAATAAAGATACATGTCGACCAAGAAAGTTACCAAGGCGAAGAAACCCGAATTGACAGGGCAAAGAAGCATTACAGGAAAAGGAAGCCAGCACCGAACAAAGTCGACAGGACAGTCACCATGCCAACAGCGACGGGGGCGAAGGTGATCTGCATGGGCTTCAGGTTGGCGGCGGCACCCTTGGAGCTGGTGGAGGTAGCGCCACCGGCGGTGGCAGAGGCGACGGAGCCAGAGCCGGGAGTGGCAGTGCCGGTGGAGGGAGTGCCAGCGTTCTGGGAGCCCTTGCCGCTGAAGCCGTCACCCTTGCCGGCACCATCGGTCAGGTACTTCTTGGCGGGGGCGGGCATGGCGGGGAGGGCATCGTCGGATACGTCCCAGTTCGGGGCGTTCTTGACGGGGCAGCCGGAGGCACCGCCGGTGGAGTTGTAGTTTCCATCGCCGGAGGGGTTCTTGGTGCCGTCGAAGGCCTTCTTGAGGGCGTCGTAGTCGTCGAGGGTCTTGACATCGGTACCGCTGATCTCGACGAGTCCGTACTTGTTGCCGGCCTCGCTGTACTCGTAGACGAGACCACCGGAGTAGACGCCGGTCATCTTGGTGGAGTAGAGAGCCTCGACCTCCTCGAACTTGCGGGTGTTGGTGTTGCAGCCGTACTCGGAGAGGAAGAGGGGGAGACCGTAGCCGGTGAAGTTCTTGACCTTCTGGTCCCAGCCGGAGGTGGAGAAGGAAGAGGGGTCACACCAGGAGTAGTCGTTGAAGGCGAAGAAGTCGGAGCGCTCGTCGTCGGAACCGCAGTTCATGTACTCGGCCATCTCGAGACGGTTGGTGTCGACATCGGCGGCGGAGTAGCCGACGGGGACCTCACGGAGCTTGCGAGAGCGGAGGTAGGTACGCATGTCACGGGTGACGGCCTTGACGTAGGGAGCGGCCTTGGAGGAGGGGCCGTCGTTGATGACCTCGTTACCAGAGAAGAAGGCCAGGGTGTTATCGTACTTGGCGAACTTTTCGATGGTAGCGAAGATGTACTGCAGGTAGACATCGTTGTAGGATTGCTTGGGCTCGGCACGGTTCAGGGAGTACTTGGGAGTGTTGACATCCAGGACCAGGTAAATTCCGGCATCGGCGAGGGCGGTCATGCACTCGTCGTGGTCCTCGGAGTTGTCGACGGAGTAGACACGGATGGTGTTCAGACCGAGGTCCTTGAAGTTCTTGATGTCACGCTTGCAGCCTGCGGCGTCGGCAATGGGGTCGGCGAGGTCGGAGGAGCCACCGGGCTGGTAGTCAACACCACGAATGTAGAAGCGCTCATCACCCTTGAAGAAGGCGTTACCCTTGACGGTGATGGGAGTGATGCTGCTGGCGCGCTTCATGTTCATGTTGGTCGCGGCACCGAGAACGGTGGACGCGCCCATAGTAAGGGCAGTTGCCACGGAGGCTACGGATGCCTTCATGATGTCGTTGGAGTGGAAAAATTAAACGAAAGTTGAATAACAGTTGGTATTAACGAGAGTCGGAAGATTTTGGATTAAAGAGAGTAAGGAATGACAGACGTGAAAGAAACGAGAGTGGAAGAAGAAAAGGCTTCAGGAACGTAGGGATGAAGGGGTTATACGGCCCAGGGTCTTAGGCCAATTGGCACGACAAGGGTCACTGGGCTGTGCTACGCCAAGTTATTGGCTCTCGCCTTTTCATCCCGCGACGATCAGACTGCAAGGGTGCAGTGGAGTATCCTTGTGGGGTGTGGCCATGAAATTGTTTAGGGGATCCATTGTGGTTATTGTGGCTGTTGTTTAGGCCACTTGCAGCCTAACCATTATTATAAGTTACTACAGTACTCCATACACGCACTAGTTATGCTACAATAAATTTACCTCCCCATGTCCCAACACTACAATATTTACATAATACGTTTGTCCATGTAAACAAATCCTCGACGGTAAATAAATCCTCAGTGGACCCTTCGCTTGGCGATGACGCGCCCCCTTTCTGGGCAGGGGATGATTCGGCCGATCCCACTTAGGGGTCACTTTAGGGGTCTATAGGGGTCTGACACAGGCCAGTCAGATTCTAGAATGCTGGGGGTGAATTAATATCCTTCATTGGCTGAAACATTCCGTTGTACCCCACTGTGGGCACGTCTCGGCTCACTTGGCTCACTTTTCTATACTTAGGCTGAGACAGATGCCTTGAATATGTACCAATCACATGTTGTTGTTTGATTCAAAGTGTCTTTGAAACCATGGGAATGATCAAATTGAGATTGACTTTAGAGCTTTGACCGACTGCACATGTAACAAGTATAAAAATCATAAAAAATGAAGGGTCCAACAAAACAGTACATGTAACTTCAGATCGACCGACGATCACAAGTACACGATAGATCCCCTTTAAATGGCCTCATACTGTTTCACTATTGCCCATCTTTTTGCGATATCCCAGCAATGACTTAAAATCCATCCATAAGCCCGATGAGATTCCACGCAAAGCCCCCAGACTCTCGACCACAGGCCACACAACACAAATCAAGACACTGATCCAGATCCAAATGAAGGAAACAACAACCCAACCAATAAAAAAAGACTTGCTATAAATATAACTGCTCCCAAACAGAGCAAACGGTACTAATATCACCGCGCCGAACAAGAATACCGCGTTGGCAGTCAACGCGATTCGCTCACCCCTCTTAACAAGAACCGGATCCATCGGTTCCACGTCATGAGACTCGAGATAATCAACCAGTTCATTCCTAGTGGTTGGAGCAGGTGAGACAACTTCACTCGAGATCGGGGGTAAGGTAGTCTTCTCATCGATCGATTGAGCCTTGTCTGCAGCGGTAGCCCGTCCAGTCTCAGATGTAGGATTTTCTTCCTTAACAGGAACCGCAACACCAGCGAGAGCTTGAGCATTTGGATCGGCGTGCTTTCCGGGGAATACAAAGGTGAGGACCACAGCCATGATAAATCCCACGCCAAACGAAGCCAGGTTCCCGGCTAGGGCGTTTGTCGTTTCGCCTGTAGTCGCGACATTGATCGTCCCTGACCGTTTGTAGGCCGTGACAAACCACACTGTAATGCCGCAGACGAATCCAATCCATGGCGCTGCAACGGCTGCGACCGTTGACATTGGTTCCCAGAGTAGAATCATGCCGACGGGCAATGCCGCACCGCCGACTATAACACCCAGAACGGTCAGGACCCATGTCAAGCTGATACCTGCAGCGTTGAGGATGCAGCAGAATACGGATAGGACGATGGCATATAGCACAATACCCCAATGGCTGACTCGGACCAGTGCTTCAGAGCTAGTATTGGGGCGGAAGTAAGTTTTGTAGATGTCAAATGTCAGGAGAGAAGAGACGGCGATCAACTCGGCGGATGTAGAGCTGGTTACCGCCATAAAGAGGAGAATTAGCATCAAGACCGCTCCTCCCTTTCCCATCAGGGCGATTGCTGTTGCTGGTGCTGAGAGTCCAGACTCAACTTGGGCGGTTGTCAGTGCGTTTGGGTAGGTTGGGAAACGAGGATCGCCTGTTAGAGCAGCGCATCCAAGGCCCATGATTGTCGCGAAGCCGAAGGGGATTCCTTAAAGCCCACAGGTTAGCATGTCTATACTCCGCTCAAACAACTGAAGATCCCAACATACCATACCAAGCAAGCCCACCAAAGATATAAGCCTTAACCGAAGTCTCAGGCTTAGAAGCAATAGCACGCTGCCAATAGGCCTGATCAAGCCAAACAGTCGTAAACCCCGAAACAAAAAGATCGAACGCAAAGACTAACCCCCCAACAGAACGAAAAGTCAAATAAGAACCCTCAGTATTCCGATCAATAGGCATCTTCTCCGAAGCCTCCTGAAGCAACTCATATAACCTCGCTGGACTCCCCACCGAATCGCTAGTGGTAATAGTCAAGAACCCAAAAACAAGAATGGCCACAAACAAGATAACAGTATGAGTATAATCCGCAATAAACGTCGACCTCAGACCCCCAGCAATAACATACGCCGCCACAACAGCGGGAATCAAAAACGTCGCCACATACACATTCATCCCAGTGAGCGCATCAACAACCTGCGCACCACCCAGCACCAAACAAGCACCCACAAGCATATTCGTCGCAAGCCCATAATAAAGATACGTAATATGCGCCACCTTTCCATGTCGCGCCAAGACAATCTCAGGCATGGTATGCGCCCCAGGTGCCTTGGATTTGATCTTGATAGCGATTAAGCTGAACATGAGAATCTGGAGCGTGCCCATGGCGCCATACCACATCGGTCCGCACACACCATAGCTGTAGGCGAAGGTTGAGCTTGTTAGGAGGGTTGCGGACCATGTCCAGGAGGAGACAATGCCTGCACTGATCAGGCCTGGTTTGACGGATCGCGAGGCAGTGTTGAATTCCTCGGCGGAGTGGGTTGAGAACTGCGTGTATCTGTTTTGGAGCCAGGTTAGGCCTAACATGAATAGGGCGAAGACTCCGCCTATTCCTATTACTATGCCATAGCCTGCTCCTGGGGGTAGGACTTGGAGTTCGGATCCCATTTTTGTTTTCTTTTCCCTTTTATGGTGGGTTGAGTTGGGGTTTGGATTGCCACAGTGCGTAGTCGATGTCCATTATTTATATATTTGCTTATCGAGGTGTTGAGGTGCGCATTGTATACTCTTCTCCTCTTCTCTTGGATGTGATCGCCCTGATAGCAGGTTACCCCAATTGATAGACTTATCATTGTTTGGGGTAGGTTGGAGACGATAAGAGGGGAGGACTCACGAATTGGAAAGATCTTTGCTTCTCTGGGGCCGGAGATAAGCTGTAGACTTATCTGTGGGAGATTCCTGTACTCTATCCCCGCAACTCGAGATTAAGCTGCTCCAAATGCTACGGGGAATATCGGCAGGGTAGACGGATAGAGGGCAAGAGTCAGGGAAATAACCAACATGGTTTTGGTTGGAGTATATACAAAGTTTTGGGTATTTTTCTGAATGAAAAACCGGCCAATGACCGACTGCCTCTAATCAGTGCGTCGCTTCTCCAATTTATTCGTCCCATGCACCCAATCTAGCAGTCCCACGGATCCATAATTTAAATTGAACTTCTCATGGTGCAAGTCATGCATCTTGGCTTTGTTATGGAAGAAATCATACCCACTATGGACAGTCACGGTATTGAAGAGCTCCCAAGCTAAGAATATCCAAAATGTCAGGACGTGGCTGTGAAGCAACTGCGGTGGTAGAGAGATGGGCAATGCATTGGCAAAGATTTGCTCGAGCGGATGCGCAAACTGTGCAGCGAGGGCGATTGGAGCTGTGAAGCGGTGATGTTTCTTGTGAATACGGACGTAGAAGTATGGTATGTGCAGCAGCCGGTGGCTGTAGTAGAATAAAGCCTCGCGCATCAGCAGGCTGAGGAAGACGTCGCGGGCGATCTCGAGTATGCTTGGGAATGATGCTTCAACGCGATATGAGGACTTTGTGCCAGCTTGGCTGGATGCAAATAGCAGTCCTATATGGAGCACAGATGACAAGATCTGATTCTGAGCTACAACGCTGAAGCAGCGAAGTATCTCGCGACGTGTCGGTTGCTTGGGCGCTGGTTGGATTTTGTGACGCTCGGAGAAAGACGGTGCAATTACATCCAAGCAGAGATAACAGAGAGATGGTAGCCAGAATGCTAAGATTTGGACGAACAGCGTACCCACGAACTCGATTTTCTGGGGTGAGTGACTGTTCACGACGTGGACCCAGAAAGCCGAGGCTTGAGGTAGCAACTGGTCAAGAGAGGAATGGAGGGTCTCCATGGTGGATTGTAAATATATTTGACCTCAGATTTGAGACATGAGATCTGGGATAAAGATTTGATCTGGGGGCAAATTCCGCAGGGTCTCGAGATTTATATTTTCCCCGGAATCTGCCCCCGCAGTGGCTACGGCTCGGCCCTGTTCGGTCCCATGTGAACATTGGAAACTTAGGGGCCTTTCAACTTGCGATCATCGATTGGATGGTACATTTGCGTGAGATTGGAGCTCAAGAGAGCACATTTAATGATGAATTACAACCCCGTTAACGGGCCGAAAACGGGAGGAAGGCAATAAATATGCAGACAGACTAGTCACTTCACACTTTCTTGTCTCTTGCCTGTGAAGCATTCTTAAACACTCATTCCTGAAAGATAAGTTACACCTCAAAGTAAGTATCACTACATATTTAAGTCTCTTCGATCTACTGACCCCAACCCAGATGATGGACTACATCGAGTACAGTCTAAGCTGGCTTTTCGCAAACAGCAAAGGTCACGATGCCAAACTCTTCTCAAAGGGCCCTGCATTCTCCCAATTCCCAGAACTAACGATCAACCTCGAATGCCGAGAAGTAGGCCCAACAGGATCCCAACTGGACGTGGAGCACTCGGCAGACGGGGTGGGTGGTTTCCCGACCCTGAGCTGGCCAACAGCATCACCCGAGATCAAACAGTATCTGCTCATTAACGAAGATCCTGATGCGCCGTTACCTAATCCTATTATCCACGGTGTCTACTACGGAATACCGGCGACGAAGTCGGCCATCTCCGCTGAGGATATCGAGGCTGCTACGGAGCAGGGTACTCTGAAGGGCGGATTCCGATATGGCAAGAATCGCAGAGCAAATGTCAACATCCCTCCTCGGCCATTACTCGGCCATGAACCCCATCGGTACTTTTTCACCCTGGTCGCTCTTACCGAGCCGGTCGATCCTGGCAACTTGAGTTTGTTGCCTACTGTAGAGGAGATGTCGCGCGAGATCGATGGGAAGGTTGCTGGATGGGGCGAGTGGGTTGGTGTTTATGAGAGGAAATGAAATTGATTTCCGTCGGGATTTGGTCTTGGCGGGTGCTGCTGTACATGTACTTACACGGGGATTTTTGTGATGTTCGTTCCTGGCGTTGTTCGTCACACGTTGGGTGATCCTTCGCGCATTCATACCCATGCAAGAGGCATGTGATGCTCGTTTCGTGTTTGGCGACGCGTATTTTTACGTTTCCTTTACGTATTGAAGCTATTTTATGGTTGACGTACCACCTATTGGCATGAGAAGTGCACTTTAACCTTTCCATGGTGTTCATCCAAGTGTAACAGCTGCTTAGGTTATGGAACTGTTGTTGGGAGCCGTCAGACCCCGTATGACTTCCATGCATGCATACGAGCTACAGTAAAGCCATGTGTGTTTCAGACCAACCGAGAAGATCGACAATGACGGTGGGGAATGACAGGGTTTGACGGAAATATCACGACAAGGAACACTACGCCCGGAAAAAAGCAATGGTTCTTTTCTCGACTGCTATGGACATGCACAATGCCTCGTACATGTATGCTTTCGATTCCCAGTAATCCCATCGCCTGCAGTCCATTGGCAACAATCCGTAAATGCAGTTGAAGTCAAACACAAGGCAAAATGCAGATGGTAAAGAGGTCAAGAAAGGGATCGAAAGAGAGATCGAAAAAGAGATCGAAAGCCAGCGACAAAGACAAAATTCCACAATTGGTAGGACTCAGGACATATCTCCACAGCGCCTACCTGTTGATATCTATATCAGACGACACGCATTCAAATGCGAACCAATATCCCGCCGCAGCGTACAGTAAATTAACACAGAAAACAAACACATCCAATTGCAATTTGCAATTCCCAAATCAAAACCACCTGTTACACTTCAACCTCTGACCAAATATGGAGCCAAGCATGCAGCTCGACACCCTAATGCATCTTGAGCCAAGACCATCGCGTCTAGAGCCGACCCAGACCCCACGAAAAACAAAATGAAAATCACAACCAACAATAGGGCGATCGTTTACAATGCCCACTTACAAGCTTCTCACCGTGCTATAAGCCCCCTCCCCATCTGTCGCTGCATGGACAGTTATAGTTCACGCCATTTCAATCCCTGCGGGGTGACAGCTCACACCCGCACGGGACCAGAGTCCACTTAGGTTGCATTGCCCTGGTCCTGTTGATATTCTGGGTTTGGTTGGTGGGATAGATAGCTGAACCTTGGAAGTATCCATTTAGTTACAGATCATACAAGGGATGCAGGCTTCTTTTGTTGGGTCCGGGAGTCGAAGGACTATAAAGCATTGCCTAGGTCGGGAAATACGATATTGTAGTTGGAAAATTTTGTCCACATATTAATTGTGGGTTGTGGGATTGTCAGATTGACAGTATGGTTGCTTTTTCTTCCTTGCTTGTTGCTCTTTGGGTGGGCTCTGTTGGTGCTTCGTTATTGCCGGATCTCGAGTTTGAGTGGTGCGGTCCGAACAATCAAGCTACTCGGAAGGAATGGTTTGTACTGCTGAATTTTCCTGTGTGGTTTCGCGTTAACTGACATCAAATAGGGGGGAATTGACATCTGCTGAGCGAATTGAATATACAGATGCCGTGCTTTGTATGCAGAAGCAGCCTCAGCGGCTCCCGAGAGAGGAGTTCCCCGGTGTTCGGAACCGTTTCGATGATTTTGTGGCGTATGTTAGTCCATGTTTATACTGCCCCTTGCGTACTGACATGAACTATCTAGTACTCATATCAACTACACACTTAACATCCATTACAGCGGTCTGTTTCTGCCGTGGCACCGACACTTCCTCTGGCTCTGGGAGACAGCTCTCCAAGATGAATGCGGATACAATGGCCAACTTCCGTTAGTCAACCCTTCCGTTTACTTCAGCCAAACTGACAATATCAGCTACTGGAACTGGCCCTACTGGGCCAACAACCTCGCCGCCAGTCCCCTCTTTGACTGCAGCGCAAGCTCCCTCTCCGGGGACGGCGAATACAACCCGGAAGAACAAAGCATCCAAGGCGGCAGCGTAACCCTACCAAGGGGAACCGGCGGCGGCTGTGTCCGCTGCGGACCTTTCAAAGACATGGAACTCCACTTAGGGCCCTTCTCACGGGCTCTTACCTCGTTCACCGAAATCCCAGCACCAGCCTTCGACTACAACCCCCACTGCTTCAACCGAAGTCTAAACAACTTCGTCAGCACAAACTACAACAACGAAACAATCGTCGACAGACTCCTCGCCTCAACCGATATCATCGACTTCCAAACCGTCATGAACCATTGGCCCCCCAACGCCGAGGGAGTCCTGGGCGTCCACGGCGGCGGCCATTTCAGTATCGGCGTGACGTTGCAGGATTTGTTTGCTTCGCCGCAGGATCCGGCTTTCATGTTGCATCATGGTATGATTGATCGGTTGTGGGGTCAGTGGCAGACTCGGGATGAACGGCGTCGCAGGTTCGCTCTTAATGGCACTAGTACTATCCTCGACCCGCCCGGTGGGATTCCGGTTACTTTGGATACGGAGATGCAGTTCGGGGTTCTTGATCGGCCGCGCTCGATTCGTGATTCTATGGATCCGACGGGGGGAGGATATTGTTATTCGTATACTTGAGCCTGGAGCCTAATAGGGGATCCCGGTTCGGCTTCGGTATGGGATGATAGAGAACGCTCGGAGTATTGTACATTAATGAATATAGTCTTACTTAGTTTCAGGGACATAAATTGAGTCACCCCCTTTTAAAAAGCCAGAAATCAATAGTTGACGACACGACTTCTATTTATTCTGTGCTATTTTCAGTGAGACCAGGCCAATGGGGCCTGTGGATCCCGATACGATGAACAGGCAACTGTCGGCTTCGGAGTTTCTTGCGCAACAGCTGCATGTAACGCCTTATTCTGTGCTTACTCGGGTAATACATGGAATATACATTTGAGATTTCTGAGTGAAAAGCGTCCAGAGTCAAGCGTCAAACGTCAATCGGTCGATCCGAGACACTTCATAGAAGTTCCATGGGAGCTAAAAAAGCCCACTCCGACGCTAACAAGTCTTTATCGCTAGTGTTGAGAAAAAGCCGAAAACAAGAAATCGAAGCTCATCGCCACTCTCGGTAGCTCTTTCTCATTTTCTGTTCCTGCTAAACCGGGAAACCTCATCTTTGTTTATCTTTCACCTCTTTCTTTTCTTCTTCCTCTCTCCTCTTCATTTCTCCCATCTCCATCTCCATCTCATCTCCACCTCTCTCCGATCTCCAAATCTCCAATCTGCTTATCAGTCATGTTGCGAATCAACTTTCTGCAATTCTTCTTCGTGACGCTGCTTGTCCTGTCTGTTGTCTTTGCAGCTGACCAGCTCGAGGATGTCACCCCCCGTGAGTCTCTCCAGGAAGCGCTTGCCGATATCAAGGCCACCTCGTTCCACGATGCTCTGCATGCTCTCTCCGCCAAGTTTCGCCATGGAATCTTCCCGACTGACCTCAACGCCGCTGAGGCGCTTCAAGGCGAAGAACCTGCCATTGCTACTCTGATCCGTCTTGCCAAGCGACAGAACAATGCCACCTCCAGTCCTGAGACCGCTACCTCTGTTGCTGGCGTGACAACCAGCCAGGCAGTCACCGAGCCCACCACTTCGGCTTCGACTGGTGAGCCCACTACCAGTGCTCAGCCCACCACCACTGCAGAGCCAACAACTTCGGCCAGCTCTAGCTCCAGCACTACCACTCGCTCGGTCTCCAATGATACCACCACCACCACCGAGCCGACTACCACTGCCTCTGTGCCCTCAACCACTCAGAGTGCTCAAACTAGCCACTCTACCACTACCAGTGTTCCATCCACTCTGACGACTGCCACGAGCACTTCTTCTAGCTCGTCATCCACCACTAACAGTCATTCTACCACCTCCTCCACCACTCACACTACCCAGAACACCAGCTCTTATACCTCCACCTTCAAGAGCACCACTACCATGGCCGATGGCAGTGTGAGCACCATCACCTCGATCACCATTGTCCACCCTACCGCAACCGGTTCCTCCGAGGGCAGTGGCAGCACTGCCCGCCCCGGGCTGCAGACTGGTGGTGCCTCGCTGACCACTGATCTGACTCGTGAGGTGGTCGCCATCATCGGTGGTGCCGTCATGATCGCCATGGCCCTGTAATTGTCCTCAGATTTGATACTATCTCGCCATTCTGCATTTTTTATCCATTTCACCGGCGTTCTTCAGCAACATCGCATCGGCTCTGCATTTCTTATGACGATTGTCATCCTACCATTCATTAGCACGACCCGTTACGATCTACCATGTCTCTCCTTTACTGTTTGCAAGCGTTCTTGATGGCCGGCGTCAACTTTCGGCCATGGGGCATTTATCTCTGCTTCTCAATGTGGGACATTTACAGCGAAACAGCACACGCTAATATTTCATATGATTAGTCTTTAGCCATCTTCACTGAAGATAATGCCAAAAGTGCTTCAATATATTCTTCCAACCTATTAATTGTAGATGCGTAGCACGGAACGTCGGAAGTATATAAGATGTAGATGATCGGAATGTGCAGAGGGGTATGGTATGCGCAGTCAAATCCAACCAAAAGCAGAGCCAAAGAAACAAGAACAAAACAAATCATATCATATAAACAAATCCCCATCAAAAAACATGTCACCGTCCAAGATTCCCAGCACCCTTCCACCTCTCCTCCCCAGTCCAATACCTCACAACACTCTCCCAAGCCGCAATATCCCCATCGCGCAACAAAGCAGCAACATCCACATTCAACGGCGAATCAGGCTGCGGATCTGTCAATAACTGCTGGATCGCTGTCAATGTCGTCGACAGCGTATACACAGGACTCCAATGCTCAGTCGTCAAAAGCGTCAGACAGATCTCTCCTGTAGTGAATGAAATATTGGGGTGCGATATGCGCGTCGTGAAATGGATCGTTGGCGGGGATAGGGGGTAGTTTGGGGGGATTGCGATGCGGAGGTGCCAGAGGCCGTCTGTCGTGTTGTTAGTTGAGAGTTGAGGCTTGAGTCTCAGTCAGGAGAGGGAGAGGGGGGTGGAATGGAATGCGGCAGTAGATTAATTCAGAGCAGGAATTGGGTTGGGAGGATTGATTGCAACTCACCTTCATACGGCGTCCCATTGACACCCTTCAACACCGCCTCCCAGTGTAGTAAATCCTCATCATCGACAGGACCGAGGTGGAGCAGCGCCTCGTTCGGGGATTTGCTGTAGTCCTTCAACTCACGGATGAGCCTCTGTGTCGTATTACCCGACGGTCCTTGTGACATGGTGGAATGGGCAGGTTTGTGTGTGTACAGGGAGTGTAGAGTAAAGAAGACCGAGGGAGGCCAGACCGGAGTTGGGGTTGGCAGTGCCAGAGTCGGTCTGCGGCCGAGGCTGGGGAACCCCCATCCATTGCCAATCCACTCCATGTGAATTTGCCCGATCGTCGCTTTTCTGCCATTCGCATTCTATTGTTTCTCTCTTTGATTTGTCACTATGCGCACTTCTCGTGCTTCCAAAGATACGGCTAAAGTGCTGCAGGCTCTTTCGCCCCCTGCGCGGCGTCAGACGCGTGGTTCTGAGCGAAATGTTGGTGTTTTGAGCAGTTTTGCTTACAATGCGAATCCGACTGTGAATGCGCCTGCTGCCCCTACCGTCAAGTCTGAGTCTACATCTGTCCCGCCTAGTCTGTCTGCTGCTCGCAGCGACGATGAGTCTTCTCTCTCCTCGGTCGATACCGCGGATATCGAAGACCTCCTTGAACCGCCCTCGAAACGTCAGAAGCGCAACGCAAGCCGTGCCACCACACCGGTTATAAAGAAGAGTCCTCGGACACCTCGCAATACAGCTGTGAAGGATGAGCCGGATCAGAAACCAACACCGAAACCTAAAGCGCGACGCTTGCCGGCTAGAAAAACTCGGGATGCCGATGGTTCAGTGAAGATTGAACCACCCTCCAATTGGGAAACAATGTACAACACCATCAAGAAGATGAGAGAGGATAACCCGACTGCGCCGGTTGATACAATGGGTTGCGCGGAGTTATACTGGCGTGCGTCCTCGCCGCAGGACCGTCGATTCCAGACTCTCATTGCGCTGATGCTTTCCTCCCAAACAAAGGACACCGTCACAGCAGTTGCGATGCAACGGCTGCACACAGAGCTAGGGCCTGAGTCTGTTACAACGGGCCCAGACATGAAGCAAGAAGAAACAGCAGAAGTGAAAATCAAGCTCGAGGACAGCCCAAACGAAGACCTGAAACCACCATCAACATCAACATCAACTCCCCCAGCCAAAGACAAAGACAGCACACTAAACCTAACCAATATTCTGGCGGTATCCCCCGAAAGACTAAACGAACTAATTCGCACAGTGGGCTTCCACAACAACAAAACAAAATACATAAAAGCAACCGCCCTCCTCCTCCGCGACAACCACAACGGCGACATCCCATCCACACCAGACGGCCTAATGGCCCTCCCCGGCGTCGGGCCCAAAATGGCCTATCTCTGTCTCAGCGCTGCGTGGGGTAAACACGAAGGTATAGGCGTTGACGTGCACGTCCACCGCATTACCAATCTGTGGGGGTGGAATAAGACTAAGACGCCTGAGGAGACCAGGATGGCGTTGCAGTCTTGGTTGCCGCACGACAAGTGGCATGAGATCAATAAGTTGCTTGTTGGGCTTGGGCAGACGGTTTGTTTGCCCGTTAAGCGTAGGTGTGGTGATTGTTATCTCGTTGGGAAGGGGCTTTGTATGAGTGAGATTCGGGGGTCGGTCCCTTCGTTTGGGGTTGTTAAGGGGGAGGATGGGGATGAGCCGAAGGTTAAGATTGAGGCTGTTTGAGGATGGCTGTCTTGTTTGTCAATTACGTCTGGGATCATATGGACGAAGGAAAGCTCGAGTCGAGTAGACTTTCCATGTTGCATTATATGCAAATATCTACAATCGCTTCCCATTGCACTTCATTGGGCTACATATGACCATTTTTGCATCTTCTATATTAGACAAGCAACCTATAATTCGGGATAGTATGAAATAATTGTGACTAAATGGACCTTAGGTTGTGTTTATGTCGACCTGCATTCTATAAAAACACTCCGACAACTTGCTTGCATCTCGATTTCTTCTTTCTACCATTTCCATTTTACAAGGGCAACCGTATTCCTAACAGAGTACCTCACATTGATCAATTTAATCCCAATGTAATTTTCACTGGAGAGAAAATAACAAGGCGAACTAGAATCGTATAGAGCTGACTAAAACACCAATGATATCATCGGACATAAGCTCTTCAAGCTTCATAACCCCGTCCCTCATCCACGACCACAACAAACTCCCCCAAGCACCAATTAACCCCACGGAACCCGGGGCAATCATTCGTTCAAGTCCCCAAACCTTCCAACATACCACCAACTCCCATCCTCTGACTATATCCGCCACGAACCCAAGAATGCCACCAACGCCAATCCCAATCCCCCACTTCGCAGAAACCCAACTCCAACTCCTCCTATCCGAACACGAAGCCGAAGTCTCCTCCTCAAAACTAGCCAGTACAGCCGCCTCTGTCTCCCCCCAGACCCGTCGAACACTCCAAGCAACCGGCTCCGCGCTTACAGGCCTCGTCCTCTCACAATGCCGCACAGGTCTAGGCGGCCGCGTTGTTGGCGAGTTCACGCCTGACCCGGCTATTACATCCGAGGAGTGTCGCGCTGCGGATGGCACGCCTAGGTTTTCGGCGCATGGACTGCGGGTTGGGGATGTCGTGCGTGTTAATGATGTTGCTACTGGTGGGAAGAAGGGTGGAAAAGAGAAGGAGAAGGATAGTGGGAAAGATGGGAAAGGCGAAAAGGGCGGTCCGGAGGGAGTTGTTACGAGGACTAGCGAGCGCGCGGTTTGGATTGCGTTTGGGCAGCAGGGTGGTGGGGGACGGTCTAGGGAGGATGATGAGGCTGTTGAGGAGCTTTGGGGGAAGAAGTTGTGGGCGTATGTTTTTGTTCTTGTTCTGGCTTTTCGATTTGGTTTTCGAGTTTTGGTAATGATGTGAATGGTGCTGACCTTGTTGCAGGATTAAGCTTGCCAATGACGTTACGTATAGAAGGTACGCGGGGGACTGGAAATGACTGCGTGGATGGGTACTGACTTTTACTAGGATGAGGCAGACGATGGAGAAAATGGCCAAGATGGCGGATTCTGATTACTCGCATTTCATGCGTGTTGCGTTTGGCCATACCACCCCGCTACAACCAGACGAGGAGGCAGCTGGCCCTGTTGAATTCATTGATCCTACGTTGAATGATTCTCAGAAGGATGCTATTCGATTTGCGTTGGCGTCGCAGGATATTGCTCTCATTCATGGTCCACCCGGGACTGGAAAAACACATACTTTGATTGAGCTGATTATGCAAATGGTTCGGCGAAAGAAGAGAATTCTCGTGTGTGGTCCATCCAACGTTTCTGTGGATAACATCGTCGAGCGCCTGGCTCCGAATAAGGTCCCTGTTGTTCGCATTGGCCACCCGGCTCGTCTACTTCCTTCGGTTCTCGAGCATTCACTCGAGGTTCTCACTCAGACATCCGATGCTGCGGGTATTGTCAAAGATGTTCGGAAGGAAATTGATGAGAAGCAAGCTAGCATTCGCAAGACACGCTCTGGTCGCGAAAGACGAGGGATCTATGATGATCTAAAGCAGCTCCGGAAGGAGTTCAGAGAGCGCGAGTCTAAATGCGTGGACAACCTTGTCCGTGAGAGTAGCGTGGTTCTCGCGACTCTTCACGGAGCCGGTGGTCACCAACTCAAGAATCAAAAGTTTGATGTCGTGATCATCGATGAAGCGAGTCAAGCACTAGAAGCGCAGTGCTGGATCTCGCTTCTTGGTGCAGAGAAGGTGGTCCTTGCAGGTGATCATCTGCAGCTCCCCCCGACTGTCAAATCCACCGGCCAGAAGTCCAAGGAAGCACAACCCAAGGGCCAGACCGAAGATTCAATCTTCGACAAGGAGATGTTGAAGGGTGTCTCCCTTGAACGAACTCTATTCGATCGTCTACTAGCGCTGCACGGCTCCGGCATCAAACGGATGTTGACTACGCAATATCGAATGCATGAGAAAATCATGCGCTTCCCATCCGACGAACTCTACGAGGGGAAGCTGATCGCAGGAGAGGCGGTCAAATCCCGACTGCTGGTAGACCTGCCCTACGAAGTAGAAGGCACAGACGACACACAAGAACCGTTAGTTTTCTGGGACACGCAAGGCGGTGATTTCCCCGAGAAAGCGGAGGACGACGAGATGAGCAAGAAGGGTTTGCTTGGCGACAGCAAGAGCAATGAAATGGAGGCTTTGGTTGTTGCACGACATGTGGAAACTCTCGTTGATGCAGGCATCAGGCCCGAGAGCATTGCCGTCATTACCCCTTACAACGGCCAACTGGCTCTATTATCGCGCATGCTGCGTGAGAAATATCCAGGCCTGGAACTTGGCAGCGTGGATGGATTCCAAGGTCGAGAGAAAGAAGCCGTTGTAGTGAGCCTGGTGCGCAGCAATGAGCAGCATGAAGTGGGCTTCCTCGGCGAGAAACGACGATTGAACGGTGAGTCCCTCGGTGGTGTACCTGCAGAGAACTCAAAGGGGAACTAATGTTGATGCAGTGGCTATGACGCGACCCAAGAGACATCTATGTATCTGCGGAGATTCAGAGACGATCAGTCGGTAAGTACCTCATGCGCGCTGCGCCCTTGAGTTTGACATTTGATACTGATCGACATACTTCTGTACAGTGGAAGTAGCTTCCTCAAACACTGGATGGACTTCCTCGAGGAAAACGCCGACCTACGTTACCCCGACGCAGGCGACCTACTAGAATAAACCGGCTATTATGACCCAAAGGAGGGACTTGCGTGTTCCAGAAACTCCCCACATTGTCTAGATTTAGAGGTGATCGATTAGATGTGCCGCTATGCAAGGAAGAACATCCCCGTAGATCTCGCTTGAATACCCGAAATCAGCTAGGGCTTAGCACACCGTCTCAACCCGAAACCATCTTCCGTGCGAGACATGCACGGGAAGCGAGGGTTATCATGTTTCGGCTGATCATTGGCACGACTTGCACAGTCTCGAGTCGTGGAAATTTGGGGGCGATGATCATTTCCAGCTGATTGGCCCAGCACATTCGGGCGCCTAAGAGAGAAGAGAGAATACGGGCTTTCGTGCCACTTGGCTCGTGTAGGCCTCTCTGAAGAACAGTTGCCTAACTCGTCTGTGCACGATGACCATGTGTTTCAGAC